GCTAATCTTGAACGAACCGAGGTACTGCTTCCTTGTCCAACGGTCATGAATCAATGAAGCGTCGTACAAACTTAAACCTTCGTTTTTTCTAACAGCGAATATATGGCGACAGGGCAGCATATACTGTGTAAAAAAGGCACAAGTACAGACAGAAGTAGAACTATTCATACCTGACACATCTACAAGTAAGTGTTTTTTCATTTGGTTTTCATCATCTGATACGATTTTCACATACGCACCTGGACACTTGGACAAATTATCTACCGCAGTCTGAAGCGTTGTTAATTCAGTATTAAGGGTTGTAGTAGAAGTACGGAGATTGTGAATGTCTTTCAACAATACAACTTTGCCTGTTTCGCTCATTATTTGCTGCTGTACCATTTTCTTATTTGCTTTAACATTTAACATATTCTCTACTATGCTTTTTTCAGTTTCACCAAGTCGACGCTGCTGGAACAAATTTTTGAACACAGTTTGGTTTATTTCATGATTGTGAAGTTCGTTCACGGATTTAACAACCAGATCCTGACCATCAGAAGATGCGTGGAATCGTATTTCAGCTTTACAGCCCATTTGGAATGTACTGAAATATTAGCATATATTCTTATGTTTGCGTAAATCATATGATACTGTTACAATCGATAGTTCTTCTCGGTACTAAGTAGTAAATTTAAAAGCTACTTTCCCGCACACGATGGTTTAGCTTTAGCTTTCAAAACGTGTCATAAACAGAAGAAAAAAATTCGTACAATAAAATGTACAATAAGCCTGATGATTAATATATGAGCCGTGTCACGACAAAACCAACATAATGGGTTTGCGACCAGCATGGATCCAGACATGAAAGCATGGGTTTAAAATAGTATTGATAATCTAAATTATGTTGTTACCATAATGTAATTGTGGACTGTAAAATATAGACATAGAAAATATTGAACAAATATACAAACACTACGCAAATTCAAACAATATAAGTGTGGCACTTTCCATTACCGCCCATGAACAGGCTCAATATGCTACCTTTACAATTTTGTCGTTTTGTTCGTTCTTTATGGATTTTACAGACCGTTGTTATGTAGATATAACTATACACTGATGTTATACACATTATGCTTTATTGAAACATACGTTTCACGTATTCAAAATTAAAATGACATTATGCTATTATTGACCAACAGTTTATTTTGGATAAATGTTTAGGATAGAATTTAAAAAGAATAAGAATTGTGAAATTGACAGATCAAAAGTCGAAAAAATCGATCTTCTTAATATGGCCTAATTTCGAAGATTTCGAAAAGTAGAACCCTTAAATGACACAATCGTGAAATTTTATGAACATCAACCAAATACTTTGAAAGTACTACTCTCTGAAAGAAACAACCCTAGTTGTAAAATTTATCCTAATGTAATGTACGCTACTACCAGTTTGATAATTAAAACATTCCGAATTTCATAAGAAATATTAAACATATCCACTTCAGAGAACTTTATTTTTGCCATGTATTCATTATATTTATAAAATAACAAAATATTTCACTAAGAAACGCTTGAAATATTTTTTTCTTGAGCTTGCAAAGTTATCGCAATAAAACGCAATTCTACAAAAGTACGTTTATTTAAATTGCGGAATTTTTGATGATTGATTTCAATTGTATGATTCCATTTATTTGTTATTATGGTTTGTTTAAACTTTACTTCAATAATGATAACGTGACGAAAAAAAACTTGGCAAACAAAATACATGACTAAAATTTTGTGGTAGAGTCTTTTTGACAGAACATCAATTGTCTCGGACATTACGTAATCGAGTAAAAATATTCGTTGTGGGTAATAGTAACTGTTATTATTATCATCATTTTATTACATAATCTTTTTTTAAGTTTAAACTTAATATTATTAAGTGTGTTCATTTAAGCATGGGTTCAAACGAATTAAATTACGAGTATGATTATGTATCCGGCAAACGAAAGAAGTTATATACATGTCCTTATATTAATATCAATGTCATAAAACATATTTTCTGAGATCGTGGGCATATATTTATGCAGCGTACAGAATATGGAAGACAAGATGGAATTAATGTAATTAAATGTTCCATGATTACTTTTCCATTAATATAGGACTATACAAAATACAATAACTTTACATGTGCAGTACTTTAGATCATTTGCTCACTCTGTTTTCCCATCATAATCATTCTAATTGTGACACAAGCACAAATAAATTCTGTTTTAAATGTCCCCGTTGATCTATGTTAGAAATTTAAATTGTACGTTTATATATACATAATTGATTGTATGTTGGACCTTAGTGGAGTTCCTTTAACTAGCTGAACATGACACAAGCATATTGATAATGTACAGATTTCATATTTATCAACATGAAATTATAATTTCCCGCCTTCCTGTAAATGGGGAAAATTCACAACAAAAGGGAATGGTCGTATTTCTCTTTCCATCACATACTTGTAAACTAATATAAAGATATGATAACTTTTACGTGAAATATAGTACGTTATAAATGGATAATCATGTTTTCAAAATGTCTTACCTCTGGTTTCTCTTTCCAACACCTTCAGACTTGAAGTTTTTACCACCATGTATGCATCTGTAAGAAACTTCTGCGAATCTTATATTGTCATTGAAAGTTTTCTTTGGACAACGACCCTTAGCGGCTGCTACAGATCTAGAACTGCGTCTATATAATTGCACATGATTGCATCTTTGATATTGCTCGACTTTGCTTTCTAAAGCTTTGAAGCTGGAGAATTTTTCTCCAATTGAAAATGAAACAGTCTGGTTTTCCATTATCAACATACAAGATTGAATGATTTGAAAGACTTATTAACGTTTTATATACATGTTGTAAGAATGTACTCATTTTAAATGGAATTTTAACCGTTTTAACACCTTTAAAGCTAGTAAAGGGAGACCGAAAATAAGGAATTCAAATTTTCAACACCTTTAAAAATAAAAAAAGCACCGAAAATAATTGTTGTTGGACTTTGATAATTGCATCAATTACTGACTCTAGAAGTTTGTCCATCATTAAGGAAAGTTTGCATGTTCCGTGAAACGCATTCTAAAATTCTATTGTCAGGCTTTAATTTAGGCTAATTGATGGTGCTTTTATGTTCGATATTTATAGATCTATTATAAAAATTACAATTATATAATTGCTACAATTTGCTGTTATTGTTTTTGCTTTTCATCGTTATTACTTTTATATTTTCCATTTTTTTATGTTCTATTCATTCATTCATTCCTTCATTTATTTATTTATTTATTTATTTATTTATTTATTTATTTATTTATTTATTTATTTATTATATGCCGTTATAAATTGTTTGTAAGACTATAAATAAGATGCTTCAGTATGTTATTATTCATGTAGTTTTACAGACTTGAACATCAATGATGCTGAACTGGGCTTCTTTGTCCGTTCTGATTATTTAATTTATTCCATGTGCTATTCATTTATTTCATTCACTCCATTAACAGAGTATGATACTAGTACAAATACAAAAGTAAATCATTAGCATAAAAAACAACGACGTTATAACTTAAATCATTTATTATTAGGAATATAACTTTGCATACACATATATACAATGTACTTTGTATAATGCACCTTGACACTTCCAAGATGACAACGATTAATACTCGTACTTTATTTAGTCATGCCTAACATGGCGATTCAACTCGAAAAAGTAAACATACGATGGCAAATGCGGTTTCTTGGTTAAAATCCTCGTTTGAAGACATAAAATAACATAAGTATTTTCCACTATCATATAATTTTAAAAAGTGCCGTACGGCTAGACAATACTGTGAGTCCTGGCTAGCCGTACGTGACTCACGTACGGCTAGAACTTTTGGCTAGCAGTACGGTCCCGTACGGCTAGCCACTTCCTATTTTCTTGTCAATAATGATAATTTAGTTTTATTGATCAAATTATACAATAATGATAATTTAATTTTATTGATCAATACTATTTAATTAGAGCAAATTTATAATATGAAAAAGGCCAAGCCTCAAAACGAGCTCGATTTACTTTTTACATGTAATAGATTAAGATAAACGTTCATTTTTATTTTACATTTTCTGTTTTAAAATTTTATTTCAGTATTTTACTGTTTTATACACTGCTTTTGTTTCTTCTGGTTCCCTGTCCTATTATGGTTCCCACATAAGTGCGTAGGACACCAGTCCACGCTTCTGTTTTCAATCTGAATACCTCGGTTTTCATGGTTATCTTGTAATTTTAAATGTTGCGATGTGTCATTTCAGTACTTCGGACGAAAGTTTTCAAAACCATCACTATCAAGCAGGTACTCTCGTTACCATAAAGCTCATGGAGCTCGCTATTAGTTAGATTGTGTTGGAAGCTATAAGCTTATTGAAACACTCAAATCCGTTCCTGGAACCAAGTAATGAATGTAAATTTTCTTCCTCACAGGTCCGATGACTTGCCCCTGACTAGGTTTGAACAAATTTGACCAGCAATCTTTAGATTGCAAGTCTTACGGTTAACAGTCTTGTCATACTGGAACTCTGCCATTATTGACTTAATATTATAGTAGACAAAGCCTAAGCCTATGTTCGGTGATGTTCAAATAAAACAAATTTCAGTATATATTTTATTTTTCTATACGCCCTCTTGAAGAACAGGACATATTATGGAAACACCTCTGGTGGACGGTGGTCTCCAATTATCTCTGGAGCATATCTGCTACATCTATGGAAGGACTTTAATGAAACTTTATAGAAATGTTCATCACTAAGTTGTTTCACACAATTTTTGCAGAAAGTCATACATGTATACTCAAAACAATGTGACGGAAAATTGTCCAAAACGCCAAAAGCAGACTCTGTTATTTTATAAACTAGATTGACTTTGCTAGACTTTGCATTGTTGTATGTTGTGGTTGATCTTCCCCTGTCTATAATATAGCCCAGTTTATATTAAACTTAGTTTATCAAAATGCATTTACTTTCAGGGTTTACATCTTGTAGAGTATAATACAGTACACAATGTTGGGGATGGCAGCACTTTTATATTTACTGGCTGCTGTTGGTGGGATATTCCTCTACCTATACTTACTTCATCCTGTTGTGTTTATACATCTATACTTCAAGTAAGTTCTCACTTCATAATCATTCTTTCAATTAATAAAACTTTAAGCAATCTTTTTGTCTACAGAATCAAAGTATTAAGAAATATATATTTTTTTCTTTATATATTGGTCTAATTTCCATTTTTAAATGTTTACAACTTACTAATGTTATTGATATTAAAAGTTAAATCCATTATTTTCATATAAACTTTCAAAATTCAGAGCAGTGTGTAATGTTAATGTAGTTAAGCATACACATACACATGACATAAATTTATTTTTAGAATCTCTGTGATTTTGAGTGGCATGAAGTTGAACTTCACAGAGATTGATGGACTGACAATATGTTATGGAGAGAAGGGCAAGAGAAGGAGTGACAAGCCCAGCATGATCCTAATACATGGTTTTACAGCATGTAAATTTATGTGGGCACCTTTAGTAAAGGTAGGCAAACTTTTATATATGCAGTATAACATACTTGTGTATGTATTATAATTAGTATATTACCGATATATTACCGATATATTGTTAAATATGAATGTATCGATCCAAATATCCTCAATTGCTGAGTGGTTAATGAATCTTACTTGGATTTTCGCTCACCATTCTTTCATATAAGGAAGCTATCTGGCAAGTTTATGGAAGGCTATTGGTTGTAATCAGGTGCCTACTAATGACTTAATACAACACAAGACACCATAGATAGTTGTCTTAAAAATAAATCTGAATTTTTTAGCTGTTTCTGTCGGATATGGAGTATTACCATTGACTGAATTTTGTTAGATACATGTAACTGATCAAATCCAATAGGAGCGGCTCATCTTATTTCTTCAGCATAAAATAATCATCTTAATGCACTAGTTTAATATTTAAACTTAAATACCTATGTTATATTTCATGTTTTAGTACAAATATAAGATATCTATGATGTTGTTGTATTAAGTTATATGTACTAGCAATATTCATCTATTTATAGAATCTGTCACATGACTATCATGTGATTGCAGTTGACCTGCCAGGTCACGGTGACAGTGACACGCCCTCAGAAGATGATGATCTGTCTCACACTGAAACAGTGCAGAAAATGAGAAAGGTACATGTACATTTCACAATATCGAAGATTTTTGAAGACTATTTATTTTACATTTAAGTGATAGTATGAGCCTAATTGAGGTATGAAGTAAGAGTTCTTAATTAAAGGAAGGCAAAGTTAGCAAGTCTCCAATCATTGTTCTAAGAGCAATACTCATATTTCCATTGGCTGGAGATATTTTCTGCCACAATTATGTATAAATTATGATATCATATTTAATATGGAGTATGTTGTAGCATGTCCAAATATAGTAACAGTAGTAGAGAGAGTGTAGGAAAACTATGAAGTAAAAAAAAAAATCATGTTTAAGTTAAATAATTATTGTTCATTAGTTTCATGTTCTGAAGATAATACCTTAATTAAGTGCTGGTTAGTTAAATATAGCTATTTTTTATGCTGTAAAAATAAAACAATAAAAATCTGAAGATTTATTACTACTAAATTTTCATAAAAAAATTTTTTTTAATTTTAACCCTTTATTAAACTATTAAACCCAAAGGGTAAATTTTGTTAAACCTTTGGGGGAATTTCAAGTTTCCCAAAAAGAAAAAAACCCCAGTTTTTTTGTTTCAAGTTTTTTTTAAATTTTTAAAAAATATTATTAAAAGTTTTTAAATTTTTTAAATTTTCCAAAATTTTAAAATTTATATATATATTTATATTAAAATTATATATAAAGAATCAATTACATGTATATATTTCAGTTACTGAGACAATTAAAGTTTGATGAGACACCCTTCCACCTAATTGGTATGTCAATGGGCGGAGCTTTAGCTGGACTGTATGCTGCCGAATATCCTGAACAAATACATTCCCTGACATTGATATGTCCTGCTAGTAAGTTACTTTCCTTCTTGATATACGAGTACATTTTGGGGATAGATACAGTCAGGTCTGTTTAAATGGCAATCATTTTAATATAAATTTGATGCAATGGTATTGTGAAAAATATATCTACAACTAAGTTAGCGTGTTGTGCCTCTGAGATGAAGGGCTTTGCACAAGCCATCTGTAAAAGTACAACTGGTTCCCTCATTCACTGCTAAAACTATATCTGATATTTGATTTTATGTTGTAAAAAACTAATCAACGGTTTACTTGTAGTGGCATAGGTTACATACTCCTGGTCAAAGCTTGCTTAAGAAATGTCTTCTTTTAAAGTATATTTTTTATTTGTTCATATATGTTAGTTAATGAATACAGAATATATATACTTTAAAAAAATGTGTAATTGTTGCTTAAAGGTTACAGATAATTTTTTTTCTTTTATGCAAAAAGCTGTAATAAATTAAAAAAAAATTGTAAAATATGAAAAAATTTGTTTTTTCCCTTTGTATCTACCCCAAAACAACTTATTTGTTTTTTTACGTGAAGACCCCTTAGAGACCCAAATTATGGGAACAGATCAATTTTTCCTTTAAGAAAAAAATTTAAAGGGAGTTACACACAAAAATTACATTGTTTTTCCCCCTTTACAACAGCCGGGCCAAAAGAAAAAACAATTTTTGCATTCAGTAAAATTTACCACAACAGCTGGGTACCCTCACAGGTAATGTTCAATTCCTTCAGTGCATAACACTATATACATGTACCAGGGATTGAAAATTCCACTTGTCCGCTTGTGTTTACCTGTAGAATGTAAGAAAACTTGCAGCAGGAAGAGAAGAAAATGTAAATTGCTTTTAGAATTTAGCCGCCTCTCAGTGCAAGACAGGTTGCTTTAAAAAGTTTTTTTAATCCCTGTTTACTGTTTCATTTAATAAATGAACTGTCTAGTTTACATGATCAACTAGCATATGAAGATTCAGATTATTTTTTTTGAAAACATTATTTTCAGTTTTCTTATCAACCATAATGTGACATTGACCAATATTTTGAAGATATTTAACTTTGAGTAGTTGTATCTTCATTTAATGTAAAGAAATTATTCCTAGAAATAGTCAAAAAGTCTGTGCAAAGGTGCAGTTACAATTGCTTATGTTTACATTTACTTATGTTTACATTGCTGGTTCAGTTGCTGATTTGTAAAAACCTATTTTTTATACACAGTTGTTCCCTTTTATCTAAGTAACATAATTGCATGAGAAGTTATCACCCATTGTTTTTTAGCTTTCACAAAGTGACAAGGTGAGCTTTTTGTCAGGCGTCCGTCCGTCGTCCGTAAACTTTTATTTTAAACAACATCTCCTCATAAACTGCTAAGCCAAGTTCATCCAAACTTCACAGGAATGTTAAAAAACTCATATACCTAGAGCTTAGATACTTGGCATGAAACATCTTGTAGTGAGTGTCTACCAAGTTTGTTCAAATAAAAGCCCTGGGGTAAAAATTGACCCTGCCCATGTGGGGGGGGGATATTGACAAGTATATAGAATTTTTTTTTTAAATCTTCTTTTAAAAAACACAAATAGCCAGAGCTTAGATATTAAACATGAAACATCTAGTGAGTGTCCACCAAGTTGTTCAAATTAAAGCCCTGGGGTCAAAATTGGCTCCGTCCTGGGGGTCATTGATTTTCCTTAAATGTATACATCTTTTGGAACTGTTGTTTTTCCTTAGCAATAGTAACCAGTAATGTTTTTACACATGCACTATTTCAGATACAAATATGAACCTTGCGATATTAGTTTAAGATATAGATTTTATTTCTGCTTTTGTTGATAGTATGCAATATTACGTGTTCCTTGTCATGAAGAATTTCTATACATGTATTCAGGTGAGCGATTTCATGGCCCTATTGTTTTAATTGTATAACTATTTATTTATTGTTTTTGCAGATATAGCTAAATATTATTTGCCAAAATTTGTAATGCATTGTTAATTACAGATTCTACATGGTGTTGCAGAATTTAGAAAAAAGTATTATCCTTTCTATGCCAGATGTAAGTTTTATTATGAAAAATAATTACATTCTAAAGAAGTCTTATTCCGTGGACATTTATGCATATTAATAATATTTTTGTAATTTGACATAATTTTTGCAAATTTGCACTATAACATTTACAAAATGATAATGTATATCAAGAGCACTGGACTTATTGGTTAAGCATCTGCCTCTTTGATGGTAGATCATACCAAAAACCTTTAGATCTACAATATGACCTACAAAAGAAGTACTTGTAACTTCTTTATGCAACATTCAGTATAAAGAGGATTGTTTTATTGTTCGTGAACCCGGTGTTTTTTATTTAGTATTATGTGATTTATGAATTTGAAACTAAGTTGCATTTTAAAACATGAACATAATCTATTAATTACAATTCTGTGAAAATTGTTACTTTTTAATTGAAAAAAAAAACAACAAAAAAACTCACAGTATTTTGTTGTTGAGTTTGTTTTCAAAGCTGTCATAAGCTTTTGACTATATTCATCTATCGTCACATTGAGAGCTTAAAACAATCTTGTGATAATCTCAGTCAGTATTGAGAAATTGTATCAGATAAATATGGATAATGTATATCATCAGTAAGTCAGTATTATCTTATAATTTCCTAATATTCCTTAACACATTATTACAATAATGATATGTTTAAGCTTGGTGTAGAAAACATTGTAATAATATGTATTTATTTATTTCAGTGTTCAACATGTTAACAGAGCCTGATAATCATAATTTATTACGAGATTGTGCTCACAGAATAAAAGCTCCAACACAGATTATATGGGGGGAACAAGACAAGGTAGAATCTACTAAACAAAATCTTAGATTTTTGTCCTAAACAGATTTGTGGACTATTTCTATTTAGAAGAGTGTAACTATCTGTTATAATTTTGCATGTGACTTTCTATCTCATTAACCACTAAAGGTATTTAGGTCACTGAATTATTCCCCTTTGCAAACTTAGAATATTCCTGGTAAAGGTTTTATGAAATCTTCCCAACCACGTGACCAATACCCATGGCTGTAGCATGGATCTTCTCTACTTCTAGAGAATTGACTGAACCTTAGAATAAAAGCATAGAATTATTCCTTTTTGTTATCTTCATGGCCAATTTGTTTACCATCAAATAATGATACTAGTTGAGTTGACTGAAGTTGTCTGGAGTGAGAAAGCAGTAATTGTCACAGAATATAATTATGTTTAATTCGTTGAATGCTGCGAGATGGATGTGAATAAGGGAAGTTGACAGGAAGTTAGAATAAGCAGCTAAAGTAGACTTGCAGACAAAGTGAGTGAGAAAAAAGTATGTTTCAAACTTTCATATGGAACAAACTGATGCCAGAGATTTGTATGTAAGCATCCTCATGGTAAATGTGTGTCTGAATCTTTCAGGTAATAGATGCCTCTGGTGTTCAAGTGCTACAGAATGAACTGCCTAACTGTGTTCAAGTTGATCTGATTCCCCGCTGCGGACATTCTATGACAACAGATAGGCCGGGAGCCATGACTAAAGCAATTCTCACATTCAAGCAGAAATTACAGCACACAAGATAATGATTTTCAAAAAACAGGAACCTGTGATAAGAGACAAATGATATGTGATACTATAAGAGAGATCTCATTGTTATTGTTAAAAGGCCATGTATTGACCATAGACAATTTTCAGTCAAGACTTTGTGTTCTTGCATGCTCTATAGGTTGTCTGTTGGTTGCAAGCTTTTTTGTTGACAATTACAGGAACAGATGTAAGACCTGTTCAAGGGGTGTTCATAAAATTATGAAATCTGCTATGTAAATTATTCTTTTCTTTTAAAATTTTTATTTAGAAAAAAACAAAACAAAAAAAACCGAGGAGTTTTTTTTTATGAAAATGGAATGATTTGTTCATCCAGATGATTGTTTTTGATACTTTAATTTTGCAACCATTTTTTTATAACAAATTAGAAATGTCCCAGATAAATGATTATCTTTTTATTGTCATATACTATATAGTATTGCATAAAGGCCAGTTTTTACAGTACAATCTAGTCTTATACTTGTAATGATTTTTTCCTCATCTATTTTGGATGAAAACTCAGGAATTTCTATTCGAATGACATCTAATTGTTCCTTATAAAGACATTTCTCCGATTAATTCTAGTTACCTTGTCTATTGTGTTTTTTAAAGAAAAATGCTAGTTTTATTAATATTCTAATGTGTCTTTGTGTCACAAATTACATTTAGATATGTATTATTTTCAAATTAACACTATTTGAATCAAATTTTCTCATCTTGTTTTAATTTGAAGTTGAGTTGAAAGTGAGGTCATCTAAAAAGTTATTTTGTATTTAATTGCTCTCAGGTCATTTCTATGTTTTTTTTACTACATTTTACAACATTTAACACTTATGCTGATGTCTATACAGTCAGAATGTATTTTACAAGAGTTAGTAATATGGGAATTATTATTTGTGTAAAACATTTTACATGGCTTGGTAAAGATTTTTCTGCCAACTTGTATCAACAGTTTGCTACATTTTGTTATATCTCTAGTCAGCATACCTTATGTTTTTGTGTAAGTCTGACATGTTTGTTGATTAACTCTTAACCTGTCTACTTTGTGTAATGGATTTGCCCTGCCTTGAACATGTGACAGTCCTTTTTGTTTTCGGACAGTCAACATTTTATGTATTTCAATACTAGTATTGTTAGAATTAGATTGGACAGCCAACAGTATAAAGCCTGTTCAGACTACAAGGATGTGCAGGCTGGCCTGGCTCTATACTGTTATCAAAAGCTAATCCCGTCAAGTTCCAAGAGGGCAAGGTTAAGTAATTACGAAAGAGTTTGATGTGCTAACTGTCAGATTGTTAATTTTTTTGTTGATACCAGACTTAAATATGTTTTAAAGGGCAAAAAACAAGAAAAGTTAATTTCATGTCTTTCAATAGACTTTTAAAAAATTGACTGTTCCTCATAAAATTTTGATTGCATGTAAAAAATACAAAAAGCTGTGAATTCTTTAGTTCACCTGCACACAGATTCTCTTTTTACAGAGGAACTAGATAATTTTGTTTTGTTTTGTTTCATACATTTTTAACATAAAATAATTTTGACATGCTTCATAGATTGTTTTTTCACTATCATTTTCACTTACTTTTTTATACCAATTATTTGTATATATGAAATAATTTTAAAGAAGAAATGATTTCCTGTTCAGCTTACATATTGCATTTTTAAAATTGACAATGTTTTGTAAGTTTTGCCATTTCTTGTCAGTTAAGTGTTTTAGTAATATACAGTTAACAATGATTCTCACTTTCGTATTGAGGTTAAAGTACTAAGGTTGTAAAATTCTAGATAGGGAACTGTCCGCCTAGCTCAATAGGTAGAGTGTTGGACTGTGAATCATGCGACCCGGGTTTGATTCCCGGACAGTGCAGGTCACTTTCATTATGATTGATCATGAAATCTTTTCTACGGTCATTCACACTATACCTCTGCTGTGGTATGTACATAAGTTTCATTTCCTTGCGAAAGTGTAGGAACTGATACCAGTAAACTGCTTGACAGCCTGTGCAGGAACGATTCAGTGGCTGAACTGACTGTTCTGGTAAATTCAATGTGGCTTACTGCCGTGATCCGGAGTGAAAAATAACAACACCACCACCATTCTAGATTCTAACCACTTCTGATTGGTTGAATTTTTATACAGATTGGTCAGTTTTCTGATTGAAAGTCCTGTATATGTATTTAATAGCAGTTTTGATATTATATTTTTATTGCCAATGTATTTCTATGCCAGTATTATATATGTCTTGTAATCGTTTGATGTAATTAATATTGTTGAAGTTTGTTGAATCGTTGTTTTTTATCTTTCACTTATTTTTAGCCTTTTTTTTAAATTTAAAATGTAACGGTTTAATTTTGTGAAATGTGATACTTTTATATTTCATTTAATTACTTGTAAATTCAGATGTTGTATTTTTTTTTTTAGAATATATACCAAGCTTGCTTGTTCAAGGTACATTATGCTGTTTAATTGATTTTATGTAAAGGTGACTTATAACATGTAGACATTAAGTCAGGTTTCAATGATGGTTGTAAATGGTATCTATATTTTAGAAATTGCTCTGCGTGCAGTTCAACTTGTGTAGAAGACGTATGACATCTATTGCATTGCTATGAATTTCACAGTGTTTAAAATATCTTTTGTACAGTAAGGTCATTAATAACATTCTGTGATGTAATAAAGAAAATATTACTGAACTTATTACCAGTTCTAGTTTTGAACTAGATTATTTTCATAACTTGATACATGGTATGTCCCATTTGGAACAAAAGTTGGAGCTGTTGCATAAAGAAAGCTTTTTAGTTGGAAGTAAATTTTTGAAGAAAAAAATACCAATATGATAATTCAAACCGAAACAAATAAAACAGTTTCTTATATTTACAAAGTTAGTCAAGCTGAAAAAGTCATTACAATGTTTTATACTGAAATCTGCCAGTTTTGGATGGGTTTTTTTTGTACTTTCAAAACAAAAATGTTGTTTTAAATTGCAAAAAGAAGTATTCTTTAGTAACAATTAATAAATAACTTTTTTATATGAAATAGTATGTTTTGTGTAAGTCATAGATACTTATACATGTATTTCCCTTATCATATATATATATTATAAAGATATGTTTGGTGTGTTCATTGATAGCATTTATATATCTTACTGAATAATGGTTGTAATAAGGTAGGCTTTGACTTAAATCTCTATACTTCAGGCTCTCAATTCTGATATTTTGATGTTGAAACAACATAATTGACAATGAATTTAGCAATTTTCAAAAAATCAAGTCTATTTTCTCACAGGGCAAAACAATACTGAACAGGGTTTTTAATTATCATAAAAAGTTATATTTGAACAAAAGAATCATTGTTGATTAATTGAAAGCTTTTCAGAGTTTATACCATCAATGCTGTTTTTGTTTTTCTTCTATTGCTATGGAAATATGAATACAAGGACATTCATATCAGATGGAGTCATTTATATATGTTATTCAGGAAGCAACATTAAATATTGTTACATCAATGTTGAAACATTATGTGATTATGTACACTGAAAGAGTTGTACAGTTATTTGTTAAAAACATAATTATGTGTAGATCACATGAATATATTGTTCATATGCCACGTAAATGTTCTGTATTGTTCATTATATAAAACCATTTAGAGAATATAAATCTTTGACAAAACATATAGAAAAATAATAAAATTACATCTTGAAAACAAGCATTTGTTTGTTATGAAAATAAAGAAAAAAATGGATTTCAGTGAAAAGTAAAGGGAGACAAATCCATGCAAAACATTTTGCATTGACTTCCTTGTCTTAAACATTGGCTTAACCAGGAATGTCACAAATTCTTGTCCATTCCCAATGTTTAACTTATAAGTAAGAAACTGAGCTAAATAATATGTATGTTTATATTTTCACATCATGTTGTTATATGTGACAAATGTAACCTGATGATCAATAAAGGTATCTGTCTGTCTGTCTGTCTGTCTGTCTAGAGTTGTCAACTTCTAGCTATAAACTGATTGAATAACTTGTGTGGATAAGGAGGAGAGAGGCAGTAATATTTTCTTTTGTTGGAGAGCAAAATATAATTATGTACCATTTCACAATATCTCAGTTTAATCTAACATGACAGTCTATAGACAGCTGAAACTTTATTTGAGATTTGCCTAGTTTGAGTCAGGTTTTTGGTGAACATATTTCTTGTTTGGGCTATGTCTCAGAAACATGTATACGGAGGAGAAAAAGCGATGTATGTGGTAGAGCAACAAAATCCAAATCCCGAAGTCATGGGTTCAAATTACACTTGTGGTTGGTTTCTTTTTCCAACTTCAAAAATGTACACAGGTGTGATTTTTTGTTATAACACCCAGGAAGAAGTCAACTAGCAGGACTACAAATTACAAATAATTTAATTACAATCAGAAATAACATTTTGACGGAAATCTCTCAAAAATTTTAATTATTTTGATTACCTTTTCAATCTAAAATTCAGATATATTCCATATAGACATTATAGATATGGTAGTAACATTTGGTTCTTTGAAACCTCAAATTATATGGTACAGGAATATTTAGTTCTCTTTGACCCATCAACAACAACAACAAATATGGCGTCCTCCATGAAAATTGTACTTCGGACAGCAAAAAGCTATTCTAGAGCATCATTTATACATAGATGTCAGTATATCTTATTGTATTTCATTGCATTAGACTCTTTCATTCGGATGAGTCATTATTGAGACTTTTCTGATTTGTGAATATATGAATTAATTAAAATAGTCATTCATTTTCGCGATATGTGAATACAGAGGTCATGTAAATTTACATTTTATTTAAGAAATAATATCGTTCTGCGGCCTTCGTGGTCAATTCCTACGCATAAAATCTTCAACATTCTTTTTGGTTTATTATTTATTCTTTTGGGACATACCTTACCGATTATGTTCAGCACTTGTGAACTCATCAGATGTCTTTGTAAGATGCTAACAACCCATCAGCTAGCTAAAGAAACTTCAGCGAACATGTTTTATAGTATTGCTAGACCTGTTTACTGTCGCAACGTCAAAATAAAAGCGACATATAAAGTTATGGAAGCCAGAACTACCCTTCAGCAACTCACACTAGTTTACAGCACATGCATTTTATATAATGAAAGTGGGCAAAGCCTATGAACGGGGAAGTCAGACAAAAAAACCATCTTTCATTCATTTACATTTTCTGTTTTTAAGTTGTCATTTGGTATTTCATGCAATGCTTCCGTTTTCTATCGGAACGCATATCGATAGACAATTATTCTTAAGCTGTAGAGTTGTGATTATACCGTTGTCAGAATACCCCGCCAGTTATAATTGAATTACATAAAAAAAATGGAAATGCCCAACAAGAAATGAATCAAAAGGTTTAGAAATCTATATATTTTTTGTTATTTATTTGATTTCCTTTTAAATATATACGTGTAGTCTGAAGATGGGTAAGCCAAAGCATGGGCCGCCTTGCGGACCAGGGTTTTAACTTTCGTGTACAATAATTAATATCTTACTTTATATTTCAGGTGCTTTGATAAGCAGGAGTTCTCACTCAAAAAGCAATTCAGATGACCCTGACCATAGTTCAAGGTAAACAATCTGAAATAAATTTAGTCTAAAAATTTGAAGCAACGTTTTCAGCTATCCTAAATAATTTAGTGCAATAGGCCTTTAAGCTTAGTTAAAACTAGTTAATCTATCCGGTAATTGAGGTAATTTCCTGAAAGAAACAAATGATGTGATGATATTAACATTCAGCTGCCTTTCTAATTGTTGATGGATTTACCTGCTGCCTGGGGCATCCGTGGCCGAGTGGTTAAGGTCGTTGACTTCAAACCACTTGCCCCTCACCGCTGTGGGTTTGAATCCCTACAGGGACTTTGGATTCTTTCATGTGAGGAAGCTTTCCAGCTAGCTTACAGAACGTCGATGGTTCTTCTCAGGTGCCCGTTTGTGCCTGAAATAATACACGGAAGGGCACCAGCCACCTGAGGTCTTCCTCCACCAGTAAAGCTGGAACGTCGCGATATGACCTATACTGTGTCGATGTGACGTAAAACCCAAAACAAACAAACAAAAAAACCAAGCTGCCTTCTTGTGTCTGAAGGATACCATCATAATTTCATCATGAAAAATTTGAATAATATGTCATGTATTGCTGTAATTAGAAAAGTGTAACTGTGTTGTTTTAATTCTAACCTTATTTCAAGCATAATTTTATAAACATTTTCCTGCTAATGCATCCTTAATTCCAGAACAGTTATTTGACTTACAAACAACAACACAAAGAAAACAATAGATTTCAATAAAAAATTTGTATTGACAGATTACCAAGAGTAGGTATGTCAGCAGATGGGAGAACTTTAATTGGTTGGCATCCTGAACCAGAACATCCATATGAACATACAAAGGTATATCACACTTAAGTTGTTACTTACCTTGGCTTGAGTTAGACTGATAAGTATAATAGGAAATTTGTTTAACCATGATATTATGTTTGATGACAAGTTGTCAGAAATAAATTTGTGGTTTAATGGTTGATCATTTAATTTGTCTAGATTCTAGTGTATGTTTGTTGGTCCTTTTTAATAACAAAGTATGCAAAAAAGACAACACCATAACAAATAGGGTGACAAAGTCAAGAGTCATAACGATACTATTCAACATGTATACTTTTACTTATATGTTTAGTGGTCAGTGATTGAAAAATTGATCCCTGACCAATTGATGAAAACGAGCCAATTTTGAAATACGTAGCACTTCAATCTTCATGTGATTAGACATGGACAACTCAGTATATTTATAAGTGTTCAAACTCATTGTAATACATTCATAACCATGAGATGGTGAAATGGTGATAATGGCAAGTGTATGTATTTTAGGACAGTGTTGTCAGGCTTACATTAGCTGCGCTGCTTTACTATGTGTATTTTTCAAATTCAAGTTTATGAAAGTCCATAAATAAGCAGGTAGAGGCTAAAATTTGTCATGACTACATAAACATGTATTAGGCTGTTGAGTTAGATAAAGTTAATAATGATAATTAACAATTTTTCAGCCAGTTCAATATGACATGAAGGAAGTTGAGCAGGGAACCATTTTGAAGGATGAATTAGTACAGGACTATCTGACACGGTTCCGACCAGAAGGGCCAAGCATACCAGAACTTGCTGCTATAACTTACACAACTAAACATCAATGGTTACCAAAGTATGTGAAAACATCTCTTGTACATTTGATATTTTCTTAAAACAGTATTTTGTTTTCTTTTTTCTGGGCCAGACCTGGGGTAATCATTAATCGCAATCATTGATTTTGTAATTGATTGCATGATTACACTGTAATCATCATGTAATTAATTACCTTGCCAAAATTGATTAAATTAATTGTAATTAATCAATTACAGCTTAAATTTAGTCAGTAATTATGATTACAATTTGATTGACATTGATTACTTTCAGATTTAACAGGAAACTATTTAAATTCAATTTTTATTTTACATGATACAGTTTAACTTTTGTTAAAATCCTCAATTAAGACCACCATTAGACCAAAAGTATTTAATCTGATGAGAGAAAAGCATATTTCTGAAGAAATTTAACATTATCTCCTCTTTAGTCTGATTTCAATATAATTTAATTCTTCACAAAATAAATGTGCTGAAAGCAACATTAAACCACTCTAAAATTTACCTTCTGACCTTATTTCATACAGTAACCCAATAATAACTGTTTTTCACACCTTGTGAAATCAAGTGTCATGTAAGAGAGGATTCAACCAGATCATAACAACAAATTTAAGATCTAGACAGGTGTTGACTTTAATATCAGTTGCAAATTAAGAATGAATCATGTGACCATTGACATAAAGAACCTTTTAAATATGGTCTTAATAGTGGGGTGGTCTTATTTCTGGGGTGATCTTAAGTAGGAATTCTACTGTACATTGAATGTAATCAATTATCAATCAATTACTTGCTTAAAGTAATTGTAATTTAATTGATTACAGAGGCAAGTCTGAGTAATCAAACTTAATCAATTACAACAAAATCTGAAAGTAATTGTAATTCAATCAATTACTGATCAATGTAATCATCCCCAGGTCTGTTCTGGGCATGAGTGTACTGTTCATTTGTCAGTAAATGGAACTCCTCTTTGAAAAGTTTACTACTGGTTAATTGACAATATGGGTTTGTCTTTATGTGTAACTATTTAAAGATAAAGTAAAATAGTAACCATAAGCGATTTTATCCCAACTGAAGGTGGAGCAATATATGAATAATTTGAAAAAAGTAATAAAATGAAATAATGAAGGCAGTGTAATTCAAAATAAGTTGCATTGCTTACTCACCTTGAATTCGTTTTATTTAAACGAAAGAAATTATCGATGCATTACTGTCTCAAAGTGAAGTAGTTTTGGTTTAATTATACTTTGTTCCTTTCAAACATCTTTTAAATCTCATGTCAACATATCTATTTTACAGGCCAGAAAAGAAATACAAGAAAAGAAACCCACCTAAAGACAGAGATTCTATTTAAACTTTGTTTCTTTAAAGTTATATCATATTTCCTTTCTGTGTTACATTTATAATTTGCAACAATTAAATACTTTTAGTTCAAATGGAATTATTTAATTACCCATACAACCAGTGCAGACCAAAATCTGTCGGCACTTTCATGCCATCTGATAATGGTCTGCACTTTTCACTATTCAGTAAGAGCATATTTTTAACATTTTCTTATGAATCATGAATGGTTTTGTCCAGATTGAAAGATGGACAAGTCCATTTAAACAAGGTAAGAGTTGCTATGATGTATGTAGTTTATTTAAATTATGATGTGTTTACAGGTAAAATGTATGTTTGTATTTTCTTACACTAAAATATTTTTTTTATCTTAATGGTTTCAAACAAAATGAAGAATCACATTTGTTTAAATTTAATTTCATTTACTTAAATAAAAAGTCTGGTCAAATTATTTGTGAGTGAACCTTAAATACATGTATACACCTTTTTATGGACTGTAGTTGATGTTGCATGTAAAAAATTTAAACGGTCAATCTGGATTCATGTACTCAACAGTGTGTATGTTTGTTTTATGATGTTATTTGTTCTGTTTAGCATTATATTTTGTACACCTTATCAAAACATTATGTTCAATAAAATAACATCAAATACTGAACATGACTTTGTTTTATATATCTTAAGGAAATTAGTTAATTTCTATTTAAATCACACAACAACAACAACCCCTCAACTGATTTAAGATATCATTTGTCATACGGTATATATTGTTTTTGTATCATTCATGTAACTTTAATGTATTTATGTAAAGATTAAATGCAATAAAACATTTTTTTAACTAAACTGATTTAAGATTATCAAAATATTAATCATTAAGCAGGCTGAGCAGTATAATCTAGTAAGACAGTATGGATATGAACTGGACTGGACTGGCCTCATTAGCAGTAACAGTTCCAAAATTACTCAGTTACAATGCTGAATCTTAACATCACCTTGCTGTGACATTGATTTTATTAAATGCTGCTTTTGTCTTGATGAGATAAAAACTTGTCAATAAACATTTGTCTCAAGTATTATAAATATGGCTGAAGCCATTAAAAACAAGAGCTGTCCGTAAGACAGCGCGCTCGACTTTTTTATTGCTTGCCAATAAAAAAAGTTTTTGCAGTAAAAGGCAATACAAGAATCTCTGTATTTTTAAAGTGAACAATGGCCATGAGCATTAAGATATTTAGTGAAGAATTATTTTACTGAATTGTGTGATAATAATAATTTATGGTAAAGTGAACAAGTGGATAGGAATGAATTTTTTTAGATTTTTTAAGTTTTTTAGTGCTTGCCTATAATACAAAACATTGACAGTTAAGGGCCATAATTCAAATAAAATCTTTGACAGAATTACCTTCTCCTGGACATGTTTGGGAATCATGATTGTAAACAAGTATTCCAACTTTCAAATTAATATCTCAAACAGTTCAGTCAAAAAGTGGACTGGTACTAAAAACTTAACCAAGATTTTAAGTCGATAAAAGGCCTTAATTTTTAAAACAAATCCTTGACAGAGTTACCTTCTCTTGCGTACAGATGGGGGTAATGATGTGAAATAGCATTAAAAGTTTCAAAGCAATATCTCAAAGGGTTAAGGCAATAAGTGGATTTTACCCATATTCAATGTATTTTCTAAGTCAAAAAGGGGCATAATTCTGTCAAAAAACCTTGACAGAGTTATGTCCTCTTGTCTGTTGATGAAGGTCGTGATGGTAAACAAGTATGGTCAGTTTCAAAGCAATACTCCAATGGTTTTGAAATAAAGTGAGGTGGTACAAAAAACTTAACCAAGCTCAATACACTTTCTAAGTCAAAAAAGGGCCATAATTCTGTCAAAAACCTTGACAGAGTTATGTACTCTTGTCTGTAGATGGAGGTTATGATGGTGAACAAGTATGGTAAGTTTCAAAGCCATACTTGTAATACTTCTGAAATAAAGTGGGGTGGTACGAAAAACTTAACCAAGGTGTGACGCCAACGCCGACGCCGGGGCGAGTAGGATAGCTCCCCTTTTCATAGAAAAGTCGAGCTAAAAAACTACAGAATTAACAAATTAAAATCAGTCCATAACCATTTCTATCGGAACTTTTGCAATGCAGTAAATAAATTGATAGAATACTGTGAAATCATTATTCGTTGGGCACAAATTTTCGTGTTTTTTTGTGTGGATAGGTCAATTCACGAATTTAAGACCTGACAAAAGTTTATCCCAACAAATCCTTTCCATGAGTTACAGAGTTCTATATATTACAACATCGATTTCTGGCAAGGCAGTAAATAAATTGATAGAATACTAGTAGTTTAGTTTGCTGACTACAATGTTGTTGGTTTGAAACTTGCCTATGAATACATTGTTTGTAGCTATCCATCTAGCTAACCATGTGATGGGGATTCTCCTTGGCAGCCTACTTGTGACTGAAATAATGCATAGACGGGGTGCACCCCAAGATCTTTCTTCATACACCAGTAAAGTTGAAAACTCACCATATGACATTTACAATGTTGGATTGTCTTAAAAACCAACAAAATAAATAAACTTTTGTCATAACATCTCCAATGACACAATATATAATCAACTTATTAGTTTTTAGTATTTTTACTCATTTTTCTTAAAATTTTAAAACTTCATAAAATATTAAAATTTACAAAAATATAATAATTATTGACATAAACACAAAGATGACTCAAACATTTCAAATAAATCAACATTTTTATTTCATAATCTTCCCTAAAATGACTTAAAAGTATACCTTTTCTGCATTCTGGATTTCTTTTTGTGTTTGCTTTAAACAGTTATGCTAATTATAAAAAAATTGTAGAAATATTTTGAATACTTTCCCTTTATTTTGACCTGTCAAAAAATAAGGGTTTTGAAAAAAAAAAAAAATAAGAACAAAACAAAAAATGGTTGTTTCAATCATTTTGAACAATATTTCTTTTTCTCTTTATTGTTGGACATGGAACTACGTACTTGTATATGAAATGAGTTTATTTATGAAGATTCAATTAATGCCAAATAAGATAGTTTCAAGGATTTCATTCCTTAGGATGACACAACCATGGAAAATTGTCGCCCAAAAGATAATAATATGTCCATGTTACCTACTTTTAATGAGTATGTATCCAATGAATAAAAAAGACAACAACAAGAAACAGGAATGCAAAAACCAGGTTTTCAGCCAATAAAAATAATAGGTTAATCCCTTCAGAAATGTCTGGCCTTATATACAGAAGAGTATTCCTCTGTTACTACTATAAGGGAAAGGGAAAGCAACAACTAAGGGCTACAATTTTTCACCAAAACACAAGGGCACTAAATGACAATAATTCTGTTAAAGTTTGGTGACAATCTCTTAGAGAAATGAAGGAGCTGCGCACAGAAAAGTATTTCTCTATTTGTTATGCGAATAAAAAAACAACAAAAAAAACCCCTATCAAATCACAAAACCCTGACAATATCTACTTGGAAACTTCAAGACAATACTTCTTTGAAAGCTTAAGACATTTAGGAGAGTTATACACAAAACAAATTGATTGCTGATGTTCACCAATCTAATAATCAATATGAGTCGCGTCACAAGTACAAGTAGAGAAACTGATAGCGAACAGCATGGATCCTGATCAGACTGCGCGGATGCGCAGGCTGGTCTGGATCCATGCTGGTCGCAAACCCATTATGTTGGTTTTGTTGTGACGCGGCTCAAATTGTTTATACGGCTTGCTGATGTTCGCCAATCTAATAACCAATATTTTCTTTCAGAAAAGCTGGTTTAAAAAGCCAAAAAAATTTCTACCAATCTCAAAGCTGAACATATTGTCTTGAGTATTGAAAGAATTTTACTTCTCTGAACCTACAATAAACTAATTTATAAATCCCTAACAAAATCTTTTATCTCTGTTGAGTAACCCAAATATACTTAAACAATAAAACTACAATGCCAACAATTATGAGATCATTGTGAACTTGTTTTGTTAAAATCAAAATGACCATCTAAAATTGCTACATGATTCCATAAAAACATACATTTATGAAAAAATAAATTATCTACATGTAGAATTGAACATCAACCCCTAAAGCTTGTGCTACCAGTTTTCTTTTCAAGGTAAAGTAAGAAAACAATTTTCTGTTTTAATTAACCTAAATTTTTCTTGATATTTTTAACATGTTCATAATTGGAACATAATTCAATGAAAAAATATGGATCTGTTTTTAGTAGGCTAAAAGAAACATCCTCATCATATTGATATGTTACTTCTTTATAATTCAAACATCTTTGTATGTCCATTGCAGATCAGTGCAGTTCTTTACTCATATACACTCATACCATGCCCTGAATCCTCATATCTTAATAACATACATTGTATAATTTTTCTGTACAAATTTTAAAATTATTTACAATTTTCACAATATACATATTAATATATTACTATGAAAATAATTTAAAAATCATTCTTTAGTCAATATCAGATATTAAAAAAACATTGAAAATCAGCACACAAAAAATATATATATAAAAATTTCGATCTGATAAAACCAATAAAAACTGATCTTTAACAGAAGAAAATGTCAATTTATAAATCTCAATGCCTTTTGCCATTAAATATTTGAAGTAAAGCAAAAGAATAATCATATAAAATTCCAAACAGAAAGAAATTTTAAGGGATATATGACAATTGTGTAGTGCATATGGAAATTTTTGAGCATGTAAAAATGCGTAAACACAGATTTTTCATCACCCTTTTAAACCAACTGACCTAAACATTGCACTAAAATATTTAACAAAAAAATAAAACAGCAACAAATTTTCTAAAGTTGCACCAAGAGCCTAATCTTACACAACTAACAACTAACTACTTCTCCCTTTTTTTCAAAAAAAGGATAAGAAGCAAACACTGACCTTTGATAAGTAATTTAAATAAAATGCCTTTAATTTTCTGTAAAATATTTTCCCTGAATTCAACTCATTCCCCCACCTATTTCAATGATAGAATTAGATTCGATAGGCTGAAAAAGGAGAAATTTTCATGGCATAAAATGCATATAAAAGGAGGTTGTCTCTGGCAAGAAGAAAGACCTGTCCAGTTTTATAAATATTATAGTAAAATGTAAATTACAGGACATTTTTTAAGTAAAAAAGGGCCATAACTTTGTCAAAAACCTATACAAATTTGTTAAACTGGGCCGGCTGAGCTAACTTAAAACCATTCATATACATTTTTATTTTCAATCGCATACCTTAACATGTGGTTTAAGATATATTTAAGTCCTTTGTATGCATTTTCAAATGGTGCAAAACTCATAAACTTTGCAATGAAGAGATATTAATTGCTCTACTGAGCATATTTATGACTCTTCACATTATTTTTTAAAGTTGAAAATTAATTTCTGTATTAGTTTCTAAAATACTGGAGGAAACAATCAGGATGGGATGGGAAGGGACAAAGTGATTCCTATAAAGCCCCTACCAAATATGTTTTTGATGGGCGATGGAAAATGAAGCAGAACACAAAAAATCAACAGTAGCTGCCAAAAAGAAAAATAATATTGCCAGGATTTTACATAATGAAGAGATTTGTATGACAGGTCAATCTCGTAATGTTTACAAAACATGGAATACAAAAACCATTGCTCTATTGAACTTGTGAATAATAAAATCATAAACAAATTAAAAAATTTAAGACAATCTTCAAAAAATAAATCTTCAATTATCAAAAAAATACCTGTCGGTAAAAAAAATTTCTTTTTTTTTAAAAAGATATAAATATTTTTCTTTATATATGAAAGATGTTTCATGAACATAAGTAAAAGATATAAATACAGTATTTTGCAATCTTGCATATATCTCAACAAAAAAAGCAAAGCATTTTTAGCTATTAAATTTTGCAGGGTACTTCAATTGATCAGCCATCATTTTTCAGCCTCAATTTTCTCCAAATAAGACCGAAACATTAAAATATGAAGACACAAGGGTATGAAAATTGAATTTTACTGTTATCATTCTTTTCTCTGGCTTAAAACAGCCTTTGGTTTAATTTAAGATTCCTTATTTTATAATCATTATTACCATAATACTGTAGGTAATCATTACCATAACAAATTCTGTAGAACTTAGCTTGACATATTTAGATAATAAAAGATGGGTTGAGACTTGTTTTGGGGTTAATAAATAAATATATATATATATCAGCAATACTAAAATTTCCCCGTCAATGCATTCCCAATTTATGTATCTTAAGAATTTTTCCAAGCCTCTGTTTTGCAGTTGCTTCTCCTTTCTTTGGCTTTTTACCTAGAAAAATAGAAAACAAATACTGTCATAATCTACGGAATCCTAACCTGGAAAATATATGAATAAGATACTACAAATTTAATACCGATTATTCCTTCATGTCCTTCTTTCTTCATCTTTTTTTAAAATTTCTTTTCAAGATTATGTAACTGTATACAACAATGATCAAAGAATTAATTCAATCAAAATAGCCATAGACATACCATGACATTTAACATTTTTAACATGACCTTTAACATTTTAACTTTTTATGCTGTTGTAAACCATACTTACGTTTGTTAGCACTGTCTGACAATGAACCACCAACTTTGTTGACTCCTGGCCGGAATGCTGAACCTATATTGAAACATTGTAATGTAATTTTTTATATTTCAAATTTCTTTTTTACAGCAAATCAAATAATTGTTAATAATGGATACTTGGCAACTGAATATAGTGTACATTAATACAAAAGAAGCTAATTACAGATTTTTTTTCTGAACAAAAACATAGCAAATTAATAAAACTGTTTATTTGAAGCAACAATAAAGACAAACATACAAACCTGAATGAGTTGGTGAGAGAAATGAGCTAGATGTACTGGCAATGGAATCTAAATCCAATTTAGGCTTCTTTTTGTATGGACGTTTTACTTTCTGAAAGTTATAAGAACAAAAAAATTGATAAATTTGAAAATACAGGAACCATTCATTGCAAATTCATGATCACAATTTATAAATCAATATTCATAGTTTATACCTTCTCAGTCTTAGCAAACAACATAAACAATAACGAAACAGGTAAAGTGAAATGTAATAATATACACATATAAATAACTTTTGAAAGGATTTTCGTTTTAATAGTAAATGTCAATCTTAATCATTTCAATGACTATGGGTGGGTAGAACCAGCACTCTTCCATGAGTATGCCAGATAGTTTCCCCTAATAAGAAAACATAAACAAACTTACATGTATAAAGGCAAAACATCTAAGCTCTTGCAAACTGAATTATTGGAAATAAAAGTCTGTAATTTACATATCCTGCAGTACAAAACTTTCCTGAACAAAATTGCTACCAAACTACAAATGGTATTGGTCAGATAACAACACAGTCAAACTGGCTAGGTTCTATGTCTGTCTTAATTTTGTCAAGCTCTACACAAAGTTAACTTACAGGGGCTGAGGTAATTTTGGCAGCAGACTGTTCCAAACTATTTTTCACAGATTCTTTAGCTACACCTTCTCTATGAGATCTTTCTCCTAATGGTACAGATATATTAACTCTTGCTGTAATCACAAAAATTAAATCATTTCAAATGAAAATGACAAGACTATACCTGCAACAAAATGTTATACAATAACAGACAGTATTTTAATCTTTATATGAATCAAGTCTTGAATAACAGGTTAATGACATATAAGGCAGTTCATTATTTACAAATACATGTACATGTATTGGTTAAAGTCCTTATGTGCAAGTCAATGTAACCCATGGAGACAGCATGTGGATAGTGAGAGAAATGAACTTTCAAAGGTTGTTACTTTCAGTCTGTCCTGCACTGCCAATGGGACCAATCAATTAATGACAATCAATAAAATGCCGTGCTTGAAAATACCTAAATTAGAAGTTCAAGAGCATTTTAAAAAGACGAACAAATGTTTCTAAAATTTTATACATTTTTTATGCTTATTTTTACACAGCTTTAGTCATATCTTGACAGTAAGTCCACATAAACAACTTTTCTGAATAACTAACCAGTAATTTCCAGTTTTGAAAGAAGTATGAAAGATTATTAAATGCTGCCTCATATACCATTTCTAATTGATCTGATTGCTAAAATATTGTCAAAATATCATAAATAATAAGCAATACAAATTGGTCAAAATGTATAATTAACAATAAATCAAATTATACTAGTATGTGTGTGAGAGTAAAAATGTTCCCAGATTAAACTAATTAAAGTTTACATTAAATACTGAGAAAAATACTATCTCAGAGGCATTTATAAATATTTATGTTTCTACCTTTCGGGTTCCATGTTGTATCCTTGCTAGGTTTACTGTGACCTCTCATGACCTGATCTTGTTCATCTTCATCCATCTCCAGGGTAGGATAAACTATAAAATAAATACATATATCAACATTGCCTCTTCTTATGCACTTACTCTTTACATAGTGCTTCATAGAAAATAACCTTCTACAGTCTTTGAATAAATTTTTTCCTTTCAATATAATAATCGCCCGATGATAGCCAATTGCATGTTGCAGCTACTGTGTAGCACAAGACAAAAAAACTATCACAAGCCAAATCGTGTTTTTTATTCAAGGGCCATAACTCAGCCAAAATGATTATCGGAAAACCCATCTTATATGCACAACAACTTAGTAGCAGGCGACATAAAAATGGATGATCAATAAATTCAGTCTGAACATACCCTTGTGTTTGACATGTTAATTTTCTATAAAATCTATATTGTGTTCTTCATAATGTTGTAAATTCTAAAACCAGCTCAATTTCTGGAGACAATATGAGGGAAATATTTGTTAAACCATGATACTCAAATCTATTCACCTGTTTAAAACTCAATGCTTATGAAATTCTTGGACAAAATCAAAAATGAAAATTGCATACATAAATGTAATATCCATCCACTCATGGTGTCGAGAAACTATGTATAGATGAAAAGGTAGACACTATATTTTATAAAGCTGCTTACCAAACTCATCATCTTGATAGCACTTTGACAGTTTCTCCTCCTCATCTTCTTCAGCTAGAGCACTCCGAGATCGTATTCCCTGACGTCGACTCTCAGCACGAGAAAACAACTGCATCCCGCCAAGTCCTCCACGACTCATTGATAACATACCCTGTATAGCTTCTCTCATACTTGGTGACGGAGCTCGTCTATATAACAGATTGTGAATATCATACATTAAATCATTGCTACAGTAATCATAAAATCCTATCTTTATCTCTACTTTAAAAAAATGGCAGTGAATTGAATATTTCTGATTCTCCCTTTATTTGAATGTAATAGTCAAATAAGACCTTTATTCTATTATCTTCTTTATATCATGCAATAACCAACAAGGACACTATGATGCTAAACCTAAATTTTTGGTCTTTGGAACCGCTTACAAAAATTAATTGCTTCCTTTGAAGATAAACACTATAATGCAAAGTGAGTAAAGCAAATCTGAAAAGGTTCACATTTCACACAATAATGCTTAAGTATACAGATTTTATATCTGTATCTCACAGAAAAATTTGCTCTCACAACTGACCATTTAATCCCAACATCAAACTTACCTTTTGAGGGTCCCAGAGACTCCCATTTCTAAATCTTGGGGTCTCATATAAAACATGAGATATCAGAAGGACAGCACACTTGAATATTTTTGGTGCTTGATAGTAAAACAAGTCTAAATACAAAAGCCTAAATAAATTTTGAATTAACAGAGAAAGATTTTATTGCCAAAATATAGACATGTATGACATCATCACGAGTCTTTGATAAAAAATCAGTTTTGAATATCACAAAGTTTTATATTTCATTCAAAATCCATGCCAGAGTTATGGGTCTTGAAAAGTGAGCTTCAAGTATAACTCAAAAACATGAATTAAGTTTGAAGTAAATACCTTCACTAGTTTTACAGATTGTTGTTGCATGCAAAACTTTAACCAAGAATTTATTTAAGATCACAAAGGTCCATAATTCATATCATAAGGCATGATATAAGCAATAACTATCAAGATTTTCACAACCCAACTAAGGCTTTAGACATTCTTTGTATTTTTATGTTTTATATTTGTGTATAATTCTTGTGCACAAAACGTTACAAAAATCTCGGAAACACTCACTCTACATCTTCATCAACTGTGAATGCTGTTTCTGTACCATATCCACTAGCTTCTAATATATCCGCTATACTCCCATTAAGTCCACCTCTTATTGTAGGTATATTCCGCCGTAACTCTTGTTCAAGACTAGATTCACCTCCTTCCGCACTAAGCGGTTCAACTTTTCCTATAGTTGATGGAGAATTACTTAAGGCTGACTGGTTTATAATATCACTTAATGTCAAATCACTTTTCACTATGGAAGGTTCTGATTTTATTGTCCGTGAACTTGCTATAGCACTGAGATCGGTGTGTGATGAGATGGGTTCGGACTTTGGCGGCAATAATGTCGAAATCGGTGGCACAGTTATTGTCTGACGAGATGTGGGTGGACGATTTAATTGCATGTTTGGTGATTTCTTTTGTTGCATGTTTGGTGATTTCTTTTGTTGCATGTTTGGTGATTTTGGCGAAAACTGCGATGGCTGACTTTTCGGTTGATCATGTGACTTAGACTCTGTCTCTGTTGCTGAAGTTTTAGATGAGGCCGGAGGATGATGGCCTGTCAAATAAGAAAACAAATCATTATATCTACATGCTTTACATATATTTTTTTAAGCACTCACAGCAATGTAGCAAAATCATAAATGAAAGACTGCATCAGAAAATATTACTTTTTTCTGATGGAAAAATTAAAACAGTCAAAATTGAAACACTTTGATGTGGTTGCATAATTATGCTAAAAATCCAATATTTAAGTAAATTATGATGCCACCTATCAAACATGATATAAAATAACTTTATGTAAAACCATATGCTGCTAGCAAACTAACCTGACATTATTATTTAGTTTGAATTTGTAGCCTAGTCAGGTATACTAATTATTTTTTTTAGTTTTGTCAAGATTAGCTTCTAATGACAGAATTGGGCTCAAGGATATGTTAAGTTTAAAAAGTTTAGACCTAATCTACTATACTCAACTGTATAGTGGTATGTCAACTAGTTTGACACTTAAATCAAAGTAAGTTCTAAATACACTACAGGTTCGTTCTGTGGTTTTAGAACCACACCATACAATTTAGTCCTTTTTATTTGTAATCTTAACTGGTAAAAATCTTAACTTGCATATAACATAATAATTCTTGGTGACTTTAACACTTATTCTAGCCATTAAATCAATATTGGGAGGTAAAAATATCTATGATGATTTATCTTGAAAACATTTTTTGAGGGAACAAAAATGAAGAAGGGAAAAGGACCATACTGCCCATGTTTCGTTGTTTTCTGGATTTAAAAATTTTTACATAAAAAGAAAGAAAAAACTAACATGAAAGTTTGAGCTTAAGTTTGGGTTGTTTAGTTTTCCGTGATTTGCTGGGGTTCTCATCTACAACAAGGCTTTCTTCATCACTGTCATCTTTATCACTGCCACTGACAAAAGGCTGGAACTCCCCTTTCTTTGCCTTACGTTCACTGAAAATAATTATATATATTCTTCCTGTAATATATTTTTGATATAAGTGGGAATATGGCAACTTTCTAGCTTTTGGTGTTTTTATTGAGATTTTATTGCAGGTTCTGATTTGTAAAGGTCTTATTAATTTTGCAACTTTCTATACTAATGGACGGGGATGACAGGTATCATTCAGTGCATTATGCATGCATTATTTCAGACACAAGAGAGCGCTTGAGGTGAATCATAAACCTTACAAAACTAGTTAGATTGCTTCCTAACATGAAAGAATTCAAAACCATTATTTTTATCAAACCTTTAAAGTGGCCCACTAGACAACAATACCACTACCCATTACAATCATCTTACTTCTCTGATTTTACTTAGGGAACCTTATTGTTTCTGTCACAAAGTTATTATCTACATAAGTCTATATAATAAAAGTGACCCAGATGTTGCAGGCAATTTCATATATAGAGGATATTGAATGAGTGTAGTTTAATACTAAATTTATTGAACTCATTGAATAAAATCATATTATGCGAGCCTCTGGCGAGCATAATATTGTTTTATTCAACTCGTTCAATAAATTTAGTATTGAATCTACACGAATATAATATTCTATTTATCACATAATATAAAATAAGAACAATAAACTGTAAAAATAAGTAATTTTTCAACAACGCGCCTATAGTGTAACGCTAACATTAGCAAGCTTTAACGCTATGTTTCTATATAGCGCAAATGACGTCACGTCAAAGTTTTATTACACTAGTGTAATATCGTTTTTATTAAATGGCTTTATTACAATCCTGCGCCGCGGTTTATGTGATAAAAGAACATATGATAAAAACAAGACTTGCAGACAACACACTCCACTTTTCTCAGTGTTGGATAGTGATATAAAAGCAAAATAGAACAGGGGGAATAATTCTGCAAAAGTGCATAACAGAATAATCTGCCCTTGAATTATGCATTTAACTTTTGCACTCCTCACATAATCTATAAATGTATATTTTTTTTAAAATTTTTGATCCACTTACCTAACAATTTTACCATTTGAGACTTTTAGAGTAAGAGAATGGCGGGAGGCAATTTTATCTGGAGATTCATTTCCTGATGAGTCGGTGAAGGCACCAGCTTTTGGTAGCCGAGAATTCTGCGATGAATCTTCATCATCCTATAAATAAAATTTGAAACATTTGCTCTTCAGACATAAATATTTTGATTCTAAAATTAAATTTTTAAAGTTTACATAAAAATAAAATAGCCTATAGTAATGGGTTTTACTGGCACATGATCTTTTAGCATAGATCTGAATGTACCTATTTTTCATTACTTGACTTTCTTTAAGACTACATTAACAAGTCAATCTCTTAATTTCCTTATCAAATAAATTACATTACCATATCTCTTCAAATAAATCATTTGTCAATGTCAATAATTACTTTCTTTCCAGTTTCCTCACATTTGCTTTCAGATTTTTTTACTACAAATTTTCACCTCGAAATTATAGATATTTTTGCGTTCCCTGTCCATCTCTTCCAGTTTGCTCTGTGTGTGCATATCAAGTATATCTAATCCCTCTATTTTCTTTGCCACTTCTTTTTTCTTTTTCTTCCTCTTTCTCTCTATCCGTGCCTTAGGTGTTGCTGATTTCTGTTCAGATTACAATAGAAATTATCGGTGTAGAACTGTTGAGTCTTTTAAACCATAAAATAGACTCTTTGAAAACCTTTTAAATGTTGAAGGCCAAGATTTGTTGAATCAGTTTTAAGTATAAAAATATAGTACATGTAATGGTATAAATCAACTAACTGTCCATGCCCCACATTTCCCACCTCCCTGGTACCAACTATACTAGAGTTCGGCATTTTAAAACATTAAAATCATACATTATACACCATTATGTAAAAGATGAGGTGAGTGTTACTAATTAAATAAAACAATTTTTTAGCCACCTGCATCAGAGAGCACAATGGTAGAAAAATATATATGATATCTTAATTATCTTAAGCAATAATAAATGAATTAATATCATTCTTTACTATATTTTTCATCAATTTTTTTTCCTTTCTTGTGTGTGGTTTTTTGTTGTTGGATCGAAAGTTGAACTTATGTCTTATATTCTATATAAACTTGAAGAGAGCTACTGATCAAAATATCATCTTAAGTTAAGTTTTTCACATTTTGTATACATCTTCAATTATTTTGGCTCAAAATGCAGCTTTCAGTATCCCATTTGCTGATACATGTATTTATATTATATCTACAACTATATAAAATAAACAAAGAAAATGACACAGATTGCTAGAATAATTAAGTTTCTCAGAACAATACAACTATTACCCTCAAATAATTTTTACAATCTCATACTGTTTAACTGAATAAGCAAACATTAAATCTTACCACTGGATCTTCACATGCTTTTACATCCTTCCCAAGATCCTTCAGAAGACGGCCATATTGAATATGTTCAGGTACATCATGTTTTGCTGACTTTATAAACTAATAACATAAAATCATACAGGTAAAAATATAAGTCTACTACAAAAAATAATCAAAATTAAAGTTGATATATAATGATTAACATATTATTTCTGTGTTAAAAGAAAATAATTTAATGATCAAAGAAATATGCACAATTGAAACTATAAATTTTAAATCATCACATTAAAAAAGAAAACAAAGAAAGAAAGAAAAAGAGCACCGCTAGGCGGAGCATAATATGCCCGAAAGTGTTTTTTTTTCTTTACTAAGGATGAAGCATTTGTAAGACATTACATAAATTCAATAAAGTATTACCTCCTTCAAATAGCAATCCTCCTATAAAGTTTGAATATTGTGGGCCAAATGGAACTTCAGTTATGCTCTGGAAACTGTTTTTAGTTTTGAGGTAATAGCTACCTTGAACTTTGACCGTGTGACCCCAAAATCAATAGGGGTCTTCTACCCAATATGGACAATCATCCTATGAAGTTTCAACACTATGGGCCAAATAGAAAGTAAGTTATGTTCTGGAAACTTTTTTCAGTTTCAAAGTAATAGTGACCTTGACCTTTGACCTTGTGACCCCAAAATCAATAGGGGTCTCCTACCCAATATGGACAATCATCATATGAAGTTTGAACACTGTCAGCCAAATGGAACTTAAGTTATGTTCCGGAAACTGTTTTAAGGTCATAGTGACCTTGACCTTTGACCTTGTGACCCCAAAATCAATAGGGGTCTTCTACCCAATATGGACAATCATCCTATGAAGTTTGAACACTGTCGGCCAAATGGAACTTAAGTTATGCTCCGGAAACTGTTTTTTAGTTTTAAGGTCATAGTGACCTTGACCTTTGACCTTGTGACCCCAAAATCAATAGGGGTCTTCTACCCAAAATGGACAATCATCCAATGAAGTTTGAACACTGTCGGCCAAATGGACCTTAAGTTATGCTCCGGAAACGGTTTTCAGTTTTAAGGTCATAGTGACCTTGACCTTTGACCTTGTGACCCCAAAATCAATAGGGGTCTTCTACCCAATATGGACAATCATCCTATGAAGTTTGAACACTGTGGGCCAAATGGAACTTAAGATATGCTCCGGAAACTGTTTTCAGTTTTAGGGTCATAGTGACCTTGACCTTTGACCTTGTGACCCCAAAATCAATAGGGGTCTTCTACTCAATATGGACAATCATCCTATGAAGTTTGAATGTTGTGGGCCAAATGGAACTTAAGTTATGCTCCGGAAACCAAATTGCTAACGGACGGACGGACAGACGGACGGACGGATAGACAGACGGACGGACGGACGGACGGACAGACGCCCGGGGGTATAACATAATATGCCCGAAATTCTTTCGGGCATATAAAAACTTTAGGAGTTTTTCACCATTTTCGCAAATTCTGAATACCGTTTTGAAAATTTTATTTTAAATCATGTCTACAGTTTTAGTAACAATATTATATCAATTACAACAGTTTTCATTTCTATTAATGAAGGAAAGATCAGTGTAAAATGCACAATACAGTGTTCTAAACATAACAAAATAGAAAATAATTAAATGAATATGAAACTAATGAATGAGTTTTTGAAAATGATCCATGGGAAGCTTTCACATAAAATTAACAAGTATGTAAACTTTAATTTATGCGAAAAGGTTACAAACTAAAGACACTAGAGAAACATAGTTCCAAATTGTCCTGATTTAAGAATATAATGAAATATTAAACTATGGTTTAAAACACATCAATATTTATATACAAGTCTTTAAGTTTTACAGACCAAAGAAACCCTTGACCAGTTTGGCCTTAATTTGCCAGCCATAAAGTTAAATTACATCAAATTACTATCAAATTATTTAATCGTTTCCTTGCTGGAAACAAATGTGATTAGCCTATGACACAGCCAGCCTTCCAGTCTGGCAATACTGTTGATAACTCAATTTTTGTATTTTGTTATTGCAATCCCTTAATTTTTGAATAAACTTTTCCATAGTCAAAGCTGGCCAAATCCATTTCACAAAGTCAGCAAGCTGAGGCTGGCTTTGGAAATATTTAAGGCTAAAGCAGGAAGCTTTCGCATTTTACTTAAACATTAAATTGGTTTCAGGAAAGAAGCAAATTTCCTCAAAATGTAACAGTTAAGTGCAGCATCACTTCATAAGATGTGATATAATCCAGTATTGAGTTGGTCCTTTTTTCTGACATGTAAAACTTACCACCTATAAACTGTTGTACTAGGCTAGCCAGATGACAAAAACACAGAGACAAAATAATGATGTATAATGAATAATTATGACATGATATAAGGTGAAACTGTTATATTTCAGAAATAACATGATATGAGTCCAAAGAACACTTATGCCCCAATATTCCAGTGCTTTGTCAGTCTACTGATATACAGCATGACAGTGTGACAGACAGACAGGGGAATATCTATTAACTCCATCTCAAGTTGGGGCATAAAAATCCAAGAACTCTGATTTTTAACATAACTATGGTTTCAACACAATTTTTTCACAATGATAAAAAAAAACACTTAAATTTTTAACACAAACATCCTTCAGATTAATCTTATTTTGAATAGCTGATTGGAGAATTCATTTTTTCTTTAGAATGACCTTAAAATTAAGTCCTTTTAGTGTGATATAGAACTTTGAGCTGTAGTTGTTTTCACAGAATAAAAAACACCTTTATGAACTATATAGCCTAAGCACATGTATATGGGGCACATTCTGACATAAAATCAAGTTTATGTTCTTATTATTTTTCTCATTATCTCCAATAATCATATAACAACCTAAGCAGACTGTTTTATACAAGCATCGTGCACTTCAAGAGAGAGATGTTCTTAGCAAAAGGAAACAAGATAAGTATGAAAGACTAACACAGTCTCGTCAATGTAAGCATTTCAGCCAATCATTTTTAGAATTTTTTTAAGCAAATTTTCAGCATCAAGTGTTCAGGTCAAACATAACTAAATCTTGATATAACAAGCAATTATCATAGTATTGCAAGCAATCCATAAGTCCCCTACCAGTTAGAACCCCATCAACATTCTGAAGGGCCATTGGCCATTCACAAATGTTTCAATTTTTCTCAATTTTAAGTAAATTTGTTGGAAGTTCTTTAAAAGTGATCACAGGAAACAGTTTTTATGAACAGACAGACAGACGGACTGAAGGACACTCTAAAGTTAATATTTGAAACATCCCTGTTACCAAAATATAACATTTTAAAAGCAAAATTCTTAAAGAGGAGATAACCCTTGAATTAAAGATGCAATTTCATATAAATTTTCAGATCTTTTTGACTAATCACAAATATTGTTATATTTGCCATGTTTTAAGCCTATTTGTTGCCATAGCAACTGATATTTTTTCAAAATAGAAAGAACAGATAAGACATGCATAATCTCAAGACTGCTATCTACCCATATGTCAAGTTTCATAAAAATATTTCCAGTACTTTTTGGGTTATCACTGGATCCAGTTTATGTGTAAAATTTGCCATATTTTCAGTCTATTTGTTGCCATAGCAACCAGAATTTTCAACATAGGAAAAAAAGAAAAGGATGTGCATAATCTCCATACTGCCATCTATCCATATACCAAGTTTCATAAAAATATTTCCAGTATTTTTTGCGTTATCACTGGATCCAGTTTATGTGTAAAATTTGCCATATTTTCAGACTATATGTTGCCATAGCAACCAGAATTTTCAACATAGGAAGAAAAGAAAAAGACGTGCATAATCTCAAGACTGCCATCTACCCATATGTCAAGTTTCATAAAAATATTTCCAGTCCTTTTTGCTTTATCACTGGATCCAGTTTATGTGTAAAATTTGCCATATTTTCAGCCTATTTGTTGCCATAGCAACCAGAATTTTCAACATAGGAAGAAAAGAAAAAGACGTGCATAATCTCAAGACTGCCATCTACCCATATGTCAAGTTTCATAAAAAATTTTCCAGTACTTTTTGCGTTATCACTGGATCCAGTTTATGTGTTAAATTTGCCATATTTTCAGCCTATTTGTTGCCATAGCAACCAGAATTTTCAACATAGGAAGAAAAGAAAAGGATGTGCATAATCTCCATACTGCCATCTATCCATATACCAAGTTTCATAAAAAATATTTCCAGTATTTTTTGCGTTATCACTGGATCCAGTTTATGTGTAAAATTTGCCATATTTTCAGACTATATGTTGCCATAGCAACCAGAATTTTCAACATAGGAAGAAAAGAAAAAGACGTGCATAATCTCAAGACTGCCATCTACCCATATGTCAAGTTTCATAAAAATATTTCCAGTCCTTTTTGCTTTATCACTGGATCCAGTTTATGTGTAAAATTAGCCATATTTTCAGCCTATTTGTTGCCATAGCAACCAGAATTTTCAACATAGGAAGAAAAGAAAAAGACGTGCATAATCTCAAGACTGCCATCTACCCATATGTCAAGTTTCATAAAAAAATTTCCAGTACTTTTTGCGTTATCACTGGATCCAGTTTATGTGTAAAATTTGCCATATTTTCAGCCTATTTGTTGCCATAGCAACCAGAACTTTCAACATAGGAAGAAAAGTAAAAGACATGCATAATCTCCATACTGCCATCTATCCATATACCAAGTTTCATAAAAATATTTTCAGTACTTTTCAAGTTATCGCGGGATCCAGTTTTGTGGACGGACGGACTGACGGACTGACAGACAGACGGACGGACGGACAGACGGACGGACAGACGGACGGAGGGTAAACCTAAAGTCCCCTCCGGTAAACCGGTAGGGGACTAATAAGCTCTTATCTCACTCTGAAAGACTTGAAAATTTTATATTTATCATCATTAACAACTGATATATTTGATATGATTCATGCACAATGTAATGTATATGCCAATGAGATGAATGGTGATATATGCATGATATCATAACTGACAAGCAAAACTGCAGATTATACCATTATTCATGCATGATTATACATAAGGTGAAAATAGTCAAAATACATGGTATATCAAACTGGGTGTAACAGACAAAAACACCATACGAAGATGTCTATATAATTGCAGAGGAAACAGACCAGAAAATATTATTAAGTCAGAAAAAAAGCCCAAGAAAAGTCTTAGTTAAAAATGACATAATGACATGCAGTTTCTTATCTCAATATGATAGTTATAGAGGATATTGAATGAGTTTAGACTCAATACTAAATTTATTGAACAAGTTGAATTAAATCAAATTATGCGAGCCTCTGGCCATCATAATATTGATTTATTCAACAATTCCAATAGGTTTAGTACTGAATCTACACAAATATATTATTCTATTTACATATCTAAAACAAGAATGGTTTATAGTAAAAAAAAAAGTCTTTTTTCACTGACGCTCTTATAGTGTAAAGCTTACATTGTGTGCTTTAAAACTTTTTTGTATTTAACGCAAATGATGTCATTAGTTATGTTACACAAGAGATAGGTTTGTCTATGGTTTACTATTTTATGTTCTATCTTAACTACATCACTGTTAAGGCAACTTTTCAGATTTACTGGTGAGCAAAATCTGTGACACTTGTTTCATAGGTAGTAGTATTGAGTGTATCATAGACAAGGCAGAATTTGACCCTACAATAGTGTTTGAAAATGATTTAAAATTAACGACTTGCTAACCTTAACCAATATTCCATGGAGAACATTGGAAGTAATAAGGAATCCCAAAAAAGCAATGCTATGCTATTCAGGCAAAACCATGTGTAGCAAATTCTACTGCAGACAGCATTATGCTAGCTAAACAAGCAAATTTTCGAAAAATAAGAAAATTCCAGATATCCCAAAAAACAGATTTGCTTAATTATCTACTTGTGTGAGCAAACACTAAGCGGTATAATTCATATTTAATGTTTCTATAAGGTAAAACAAACAATTTTCTAAAAGCATTATATAAAGACACAAATGTTAGATATATTATTATTCTGTTTTAATCACCCATAAAATTAAAGCTGATTATATTGCATATAATTCCTATTTCATACTACAGTAATATTTTTCTTCCAGCTAAGACAAGTAGTTGCCTTAGGTACCCCTTAGGTTTCTAGACATGGATTTATGCTTTCTATTTTGATATAAACAAAACTCAATAAAAAGAGATAACTTTTAGAACAAATAAAACTGAAGACTAACACCCCTAAACAGAGGGTGAGACAAACTTTGTTAGGAATAATGATAAAAAACACACTTTGAAAAAAACTTCAAATACAACAGAAAACATGGAAACTTTGTCTTAGAGACAAGAAAAATATTATCTTTCAGGAGTAAAACACTCACTAGTGTCTGGTTGAGCTAGTATGCATAAAGAGAAAAATACAACAATTCAATAATATATAGCAAAGTCTAACTAGCATCTTCAAAGAACAGGAAGTACATTTTCTGCATTCCTAGACTTTTATAGTGTTAACACTTAGAAAACTTTTCTCTAGATATTAACATTCAGAATATTCGGATAACATATTGACTTATACCAGCATCTTATTGCAACAACCTAATAATGTAAAGGAGTGCAAATAGCACTGCCCTTGCATAACAATGCCCTTAAGTTTATGTTGTACTAGAAAGTAAGAGAGAGCGAGCATTATTTGTTTCAAGCAGAGCTTTGCATTTTTTCCACATAGAAGCAGTGTAGTAATTCAATGCCACATCCAATTCACAGCAATAGTCTCAGCACTCAAATTGAACATCTTACATTCAATATAAAACTTTGATATGTGAAACTTTATTTACTTCCCATGTAAAACAAATTTAGAGATTTTTTTATCCTAAAAAATTACCTTGATTTTCTTTTATAAATTATGTATAACCAAAATGAAATTTATTCTGTTTAATGTATCTGTATTTTTATACAGTCTACAAAGGAACTATATTTAAGCTGTTAACTTTACGGTTTTACTAAAAAATTGCTGAGCAAGCATTTATAGAAAGTTGAATAGACATCATGTTACGACAGGAAAGGATCTTGCACTTATCTTTTTGTACATTTAAATGATTCTTCATTCTATATTCTTATACATCATTAATTGGTTTAACCTTGAAAGGCTTTGTTTTTATATATAATAATCTTTCATTTGTTCTAATTTACACATAAATTAGTTGCATAAGCTTGAGTAGGATATCATTTTATAATTTTTCAAACACTTAAGTTGTACAACCTTGAAATAGTCCTTCCAAAAAGTAGTATAACCTAGAAAATAGCTTTCAACTGTTTTTCTTCACACATAAAAGTTATAAAACCTGAAGTGGAGCCCTCATTTTACAATTATTCAAATAATGAAGTTGTAACTTGTATAACCTCAAGTGGATCCCTCATGTTACAACTTTACACATAATGAAGTTGTATAACCTCATGAAGATCTGTCATGCATAATAAAGTTCTATAACCTTGAGTGGATCTCTCCTTAATTACTTTATACATAATAAAGTAGATAAACATTACGAGAATCTTCTATCTGTCATAATTAAAAATTATTTTTACACATAATGTGCAAAGTTCAGAAATGTTAAAACTGGTTATAACAGTCCACCGCATATTAGAAAATACTTTGAGCTACTTAATACAGACATAATTATACAACAGAATTATAAGACACCTACATCTTTCCTCTGTGTCCATGACCTTAGATGGAAAACTAACGCCTTGGCACCTTCAAATATATAAGCAGGTGGCTTTTTCCCTTCATCTATATAATCTGTGAAGAAAAAATGTTAAAAATGATATAAAACAAAGAAAATACCATAATTGTCCTTAAAGTGTCTAAAAGTTAGATACACATGAACAAACTTTCCCTTTTGGTGTTAAAAAAGTTGTAAGAATATTTAAGTTAAACACATTTCACACAAATTTTTCGTCATGAAGACTTGATAATTTGTATCAAGTAGTTTTTTGCTACATTTTTTAATTACTCAAACCTTCAGCATTCATGCAATCAACTTATGCTGCTTTGACTATGAATCTAATTCTTGTCTTAAATATCAAAAGTTCCAAGCAGTATAGAATCTAGACTGATCCCAGTGAAACGCACAATTTTTAAATTACTGACGTATAACTTCATTTTTCTCAGTAATGCCATTTGCTGACACTCATAAAGATATAAAGAAATATAATGAAAATACCATTGTGTTTGATATAAAAATTGTCATAAAATGTCATTTATCAATATAAAATGTTTAGAAGTATTAAATAAAATAAGACTAACATACCTCGCATAGTATCAAGAATCTGTTTGGCAGCATACCAATTAATAGTTTCATATGATGGAAACAAATATTTCTCTGATGTCTTCACTCTCTTCTCTATTGCGTAAACCCTATACATAAATATAACAAGAGCCGGTTGAACCGGGTGATGCTCCCCGAATAGGTTTTGGACACAGGAAGGTATACCTCTTGTTCTGTCAGAGTTATGTCACAGACAAAGTTCAAAGTGTAAAAACAACCCAAATGTTGTGCACGACACATTGTCTTAATATGGTGATCATTTTTGTGAAATAGTTGTAAAATCCGACTTCAAATAACAAAGTTATGCGCCGTACATGATTTTGCTGCAAGGTCATGCTGTGACCTTGACCTTCAAGGTAGCGACCCAAATGTTGCATGCAACACATCGTCTCAATATGGTGATCATCTCTGTGAAATAGTTGTTAAATCCGACTTCCAGTAACGAAGTTATGGGCCGGACACGATTTTGCTGCAAGGTCATGCCGTGAACGTAACCTTCAAGGTAGCGACCCAAATGTTGCATGCAACACATCGTCTCACTATGGTGATCATCTCTGTGAAATAGTTGTTTAAATTCCACTTCCAGTAACGAAGTTATGGGCCGGACACGTTTTGCTGCAAGGTCATGCCGTGACCTTGACCTTCAAGAAAGCGACCCAAATGTTGCGCGCATCACAATGTCTTAATATGGTGATCATTTCTGTGAAAAAGTTGTAAAATCCTACTTCAAATAAGGAAGTTATGGGCCAGACACGATTTTGCTGCAAGGTCATGCTTTGACCTTGACCTTCAAGGTAGCAACCCAAATGTTGTGCGTGACACGTCATCTTAATATGATGATCATTTCTGTGAAATAATTTTTAAATCCTACTTCAAATAGCGAAGTTATGGGCCGGACACAATTTTGCTGCAAGGTCATGATGTGACCTTGACCTTCAAGGTAGAGACCCAAATGTTGCGTGCCACACGTCGTCTCAATATGGTGATCATTTCTGTGAAATAGTTTTAAAATCTGACTTCAAATAACAAAGTTATGGGCCGGACACGAATTCGGGACGTACGGACGGACGGACAACCCGACGACTATATGCTCCCCCGAAATTTTTCGGGGAGCATAAAAATATGTTGTGCCAAAACTTAAAAGGAAAATGTAATAACGTAACACATTCTGTATTATTATAAGTTAATTTTCAAGCACATACGAAGAATCCTACCTGCAAGGTGGTTCACTAGCATAAATTCTATGTGTTAAATTGTTTCATATCTTGATAGATTGTTGAAACACTTCTACTTTAACACTAATAATCTCTAATGCCAAAACATCTTTAAAATATTCTTAAATGAGAAATATCAAGTGTTGTCATAGCAATATGTAAGTCCTTTTAAGGTTTAATCTATTTTCAGCTCTGGTGAAATAGTGGTGCTATAAAAATAAAGATAATCATACATTTTCCAAGAAGCATAAAACTTACTCTAATTGTAAAGGTACATTGTAACTATGAAGAAAATTTCCACCAAAGACGAGTGAATCTATTGGTGTGAACACTGCATGGATCCAGCCAGTAGGTATGAAGATCGTGTGGCCTTGTTTCACAACACATTTATAACATTTGTCAACTTGATCACCAAAGAATAGCTCACTTTGATTGGAGGCACTTAACCACGTCTCATAAAGGCAGAGATTTGCTGTAGTTGGACGAATCAGGAAGAACACTTTCTCACCCTGTCAATATGAGAGTTAGTATGAATTTTAATCTCAACATATGATATGGTATAAAAACTGTGACAGTTTTGTTTCTTCTCAAATTAAGCAAATCATTTATAAATTGTATTGCATCCTTGCAAAGAAACAAAGCAAAGGCCTTTGCAGTCAGAAATAATATGAAGTGACACAGTTATTATGAGGTACAACAGTTAAGTTAACATCAGCGATATTATTAATTGAGAACAGAAATGATATCTTTTCATTATCACCTTTTAAAGCTGCAAGCCTCCAGATGAGCAAACAAGAGGGCCATGATGGCCCTGAGGTCGCTCACCTGTATATAGGCCCCCCCCCCAACGTTGCAGAGCCAATTTAACCCAAGGGCTTTTATTTGCACAAACTTGGTAGACACCCATAAGAAGATGTTTCATGCTAAACATTTAAGCTCTAGCTCATTGGGCTTTTTAAAAGAAGATTTTTTTTAAGTTTTTACTATACACATATAGTTAAAAACAATGACACCCCTGGGGCCGGGCCAGTTTTGACCCCAGGGCTTTTATTTGAACAAACTTTGTAGACACTTACTAGAAGATGTTTCATGCTAAATATCTTAACTCTAGCTATTTGGGTTTTTTCAAAGAAGATTTAAAGTTTTTGCTAAACACATATAAAGAAAATCAATGACCCCCGGGGCGGGGCCAATTTTGACCCCTGGGCTTGTATTTGAACAAACTTGGTAGACACCTATTAGAACATGTTTGATGCTCAATATCTTAGCCATAGCTCTTTGAGTTCTTTAAAAGAAGATTTTTTAAGTTTTTACTATATGCATATAGGGAAAATCAATGACCCCCCGGGGCGGGGCCAATTTTCACCCCAGGGCTTTTATTTGAACAAAATTGGTAGACACCCATTAGAACATGTTTCATGCTAAATATCTTAGCTCTAGCTCTTTGGGTTCTTTAAAAGAAGATTTTTTAAGTTTTTACTATATGCATATAGGGAAAATCAATGACCCCCCGGGGCGGGGCCAATTTTGACCCCAGGGCTTTTATTTGAACAAACTTGGTAGACACACACTAGAAGATGTTTCATGCCAAATATCTAAGCTCTAGCTCTTTGAGTTCTTTAAAAGAAGATTTTTTAAGTTTTTACTATATGCATATAGGGAAAATCAATGACCCCCGGGGCGGGGCCAATTTTCACCCCAGGGCTTTTATTTGAACAAACTTGGTAGACACCCATTAGAACATGTTTCATGCTAAATATCTTAGCTCTAGCTCTTTGGGTTCTTTAAAAGAAGATTTTTTATAGTTTTTACTATATGCATATAGGGAAAATCAATGACCCCCCGGGGCGGGGCCAATTTTGACCCCAGGGCTTTTATTTGAACAAACTTGGTAGACACTCACTAGAAGATGTTTCATGCCAAATATCTAAGCTCTAGCTCTTATGGTTTTTTAAAAGAAGATATTTAAAGTTTTTTCTTTCGGTTGCCATGGCAACCAGAGTTTTGCATGGAATTAAATTCTTTGAACATTTTTTAAAGGTGACCACCAAAGGAACATTCCTGTGAAGTTTGGATGAAATTGGCTTAGTGGTTTATGAGGAGATGTCATTTAAAGTAAAAGTTTACGGACGGACGCCGGACGGACGGACGCCGGACGAAAAGCGATCACAAAAGCTCACCCTGTCACTTTGTGACAGGTGAGCTAAAAATAGTTCAATAAAATCAAAACTGAGAAAAATGTATTAAGACTTTAGGAAAAGTAAAAAGATTCAAAATTCTAGTAAAAGTTTAAATGTTATGTGCGATTAATGACCTATTTTTCAGCATTTATAACTATATTTCTACTGCATTTCTAACGCAGTAAGGGCTATTTTTGTATATTTTACCCTCTTTTTGGTAACTTACACGGGTTGGAAGTGCCATTGATAATGCGTAAATTGCATTCTTTTGGTAACTTTACAATAATATACTTTTAAATACATTTTCAAATTTTCATGAAAATTAGCATGAATCTGGAGGCGTGCTGCTTTAAATAAGATATTTTTGGGAATAATGTTTTGATGTTTACACACTATTAACCCTTTGGATTAGGAGCAGCATTAAAGGCATAAATGGTCTGATAAAAAAAACAGTTAATTTTAAACATACCTTAAGTACATGATACCATACAGAAGTTCCACCAAAGTCAATATGGAAGTCAGTAAAGCTGTCCCGTACACCCATCAGACAATATTTATGCACCTCTGGTTTTGTATACGTACAATCATCTGGTAAAGTCTCTGGCCAGACTCCATTAGATACCCAGCTAACCTCTCTAACAGCTTGTGGTACAGTGACCAAATCAGACATTCTAAAAATTCAATATCAGAGGATAAAAAGCAGCTGCTAAAGTAACAATTGGAAATTTAAAATGATTCAGACGGAGATTAAAGGGTTTAAAGAATCCAGAGTTTATACCTTGCTTTTTTAAAAAGTGGCTAAAAAGTGTTTATAGATTTATTTTTTTTACAATTAACAACACTGGAATACAATTAAAAGAGCAAGTATTCTGAACGAAATTACTAAAAATATCTAGCAATCATTAAGATCTGGAAGTTATAAATTATAGTATTATATGTAAAGAAGGTCTACTCTAGCTTAAGGTTCAGAGCCAACTTAATTATGCCTTTGAAATGTTCAATAAAAGTGATAAAAGCTGTTAAAGTGGAAAATTTGTGAAGAAAAATGAAAATTATAAAAAGTTTCACTTATCAATTACAATCATAACATTATCACATTTAAAGAAACAGACAATTTTTGTAAATCTCTTTAGTAACAAACCATATATCAAATTTAATTACAAACATAAAATTATCACATTTAAAGAAACAGACAATTTTTGTACATCTCTTTAGTAACAAACCATATATCAAATTTATTGTGTTCATACTTAGTTTTAGAGAACTCAAGACTGATGACATTGAAGATTTTATTTCTGTTTGGACTGTTGTAGTACTCGGTCCATTCCCTCATTAACATTTTATAGTCTTCTTGTCTTGCTACATCTATAACATCTATCTCTCTCATTGAACCTATATAAAAATACATATGGAAAACACATAAAACAACGAGACGATTCTGTCACAAACTAGTTAAACTTGCATATTTGCAAGTTTAAATTTGAAACAAGCAATGATTACATGCAACTCATCTCAAGATAAGTAATTGATTTATATTATGATAAAGCCTGTCTAGTTCTTGATGCTACTTGTAAAAATATTACCATTTTATTTCCTATTCAGTAGCAGTTTCATCAATATTTGATTTTCAGTCATAAACCTGTGGCAAAATAGAAATGTGTATTCATTGATCAAGTCCTCATTGATCAAGTCCACACTCCCATGACTGTTTTTAGACATTGTAACCCACATCGTTAAGTTTTACATGTACACTTGTATCACACATTACATCTTGAATTTATACACTGTTTTAAAGTGTTTTAACTTAAAATACATAATCATTTGCTAAACATTTAAATAAACTAGAAAAAAATGCATTAAGCCATGGTAATAGGGCATCTGTCTCAGCTTTTCCTGGAGAAAAAGACAATAAACTGTCTCTCCTAAATTATCATACCCATAAGGTGTAGAAATATCAATATTCTGCAAAATGTATGGGTTACTTACTCAAAGGAAGAAATCTAAATCATAATGATAAAACATACTCTTAACAGACAATACAAGATGTTTGCTTCACACAAACTTACCCACATAATCCTCTACATCTTGAATAGTGAAAGTGGCTGGTGGAAGTGTCATGCCAAGTCCATCTGTACTCTCAAACAATAAAGGGACATCAAAACCATGCTTATCGAAATATATTTTGCCAATGGCATGACCCGGCAATCGTAACACAGGAATTTCATCAGCACTGAAATAGAATAATTCATTGAAATATAACAAAACTTAGAGAAAACAATAATCTATGTACAAAAAAGCCAACTCTTCCTTTTAGTGTAAATATCAAACAATAATATTCAAAATATCCAATTTATCTCATTTTTATTACAATATAAATCAGATATGCAACTGTGTTCCACCCAATATTACAGTACAAGATTGTGGAATGAATATAAAACAATCGATATTAAACTCAGAACACTTGCAATTACAACTTGCCTGTGTGATAAGTATCATTAATGCCCTTGCTGCCAGACCAGTCTCTATACCATTGGTTGTATAATTACAGCATTTTGATACAGAAATTGTTTAAATCAACAGGAGATAATCCAAAGTCAAAGAAGGGCAAGGAAAGTTTATAAATTAAGGAGGATGAAGGTTAAAACATATATCTTACGAGGGGAAAGTCCTTCCTTTCAGTTCTTTGATAAACACAACAGTTCCTGTCTGAACAGCCTTTAAAAACAATTACATAATAGATATGCCATAATGACGATTAAAGATCATACTAAGAAATTCTGTAAGGAATTAAAACACTTTGCTTTAAATTCTATAAAAACTTTATTGTTCAGTTCTATTAGCTGATATCAAATGTTTGAGCCTTAAAATTCTATATATTTCTGAAGATTTGATAATTTTTTATGTAAAAGTTTCTTAGTTGTGAATAAGAAAGTTAAATTTTATCAATACAGCTTTCTTACAGTTCTAACACATGTTTTTTTGTGTGAAATAATTGAACAGAATAATTATAAAACAGAGAAAAATACTATCATTACTATGCTTACTTTAGTAGCACCACTGTCAGAGTAGTCATGTCTGTGCCAATTTCTTCTCTGCTTTACTGAAAATAAAGCAATAACATATTAAGTGTGTATATAACTTATTATAAATCACAATATAACTTAAGAAAAATGTACTTAGATTTTAAGAAATGTAAAAAGATTTAAGATTAAAGTAATAATTTACATGTTATTTGTGATTAATGACTGATTTTGCAGTATATTTCACCATATTTTTACTGCATTACTAACACAGTAAGGGTTATATGTGAATATTTTGACCTATTTTTGGTAATTAATGTGGATTGTAAGTACCGTTTGAGTAGTGAAAAATAACTTCTTTTTTCCCTTCACTACATTTTAATTTAAATTATATTTTTTTAAATTTAAATGAAAATTATCATGAATCTGGAGGCATGCTGCTTTAAAGTATAGCTTTAATAAGTTGACATTAGTCACATTACTTAAAATTATAATGCTATAATGCAAGAAAAATAAATTCTATTTCCATTCTAATATGTTAATAAAAAAAGAGAATTGATTAAAATATGTTGAACTTAGAAGTAATTTTCGTGACATCATTTGGTTTCTTGACTTCACATCTGATGTAATATGATTATGACATGTAAGCATTCCTTTTTATGCTGTGCATATATCATGTTATAATGCACTTGATTGCCCTGTTTGATAGGGGATTAGTGTAAAGCAAGTTATATTCAATTATAACATGGTATTTTTTTCCTGGGAAGGCCAATGATAATAGTTAGTACTGTTGGCCCAACCCATAGTAAGAACACTGAATAATTCTATAGTAAGTACACTGAATAATTCTTTACTTGGTAAAATTGTGAAATTGTATAGTGTGTGTGTGTTTAAAAAAAAAAATATTATCCGGCTATTTTTTTTCTCAATAAAAAGATAAAAAAATAACATTCATCTTGTACTTACAGACTAGTGGACCATGATCAGCTTGACAATTTGGGCAGTGGTAGATTTCTATATCTGGTGCCTGATGTTCAAGAATGCCAATACAACTAAAATGTTAAGCAGAGACATTAAAAAATACAAATCAAAATAATCAGCACTACATATATTTATCAAGGCCTCATCTTTGGGACAAAAAAAAAGAGAGAGAAAATGAGGGGAGTACACATCTGACTTTCTCTTTAAAAGTCCTGTTTATAAAGGTCAAGGTTATAACTGAATAATTAAGCAACAGGTTTTGTCATAAGAGTTCTTTTGTCAAAAGTATGAATCAAATCTGTAAATAAATAACAAAAACTATTGGTGTATTTTTTTTAAGTGCTAGGATGGTCCCCTAAGGTACCATCATTCTTATTTACAAATTAAAGCAAAGATGTGCAAAAAGCGCCTGGAGAACTCCCTGGAATTAATACAAGTGTATCAGATTCCTGGCACAATTATTGGTCGACTTTCCTCACAGGTCTATCTTCAGTGTTCACATCATGTGAATACATACCTTTTAACAAAAAATTCAACAGTCACATCTGAAAATTTATGGTTATATCCTCTTATTTAATTTAATTCTTATACAGCCAAAAAACAAATGGCTGTCACAAAGTGTGCGAAAGCTGATTGGCTAATTCAAATGCAAGCATTTAAATGAGTCAAGTTTCAAACAAAATATTTGCCTATGCCAGACTTCGCGAAACTGCTGAAAAATTTGCCTGACATTCGGTCAGACAAACTTTCAATTCTTGTCTGACCGAAAGAACTTTTGTCTGACCGAATTTTTTCCCCCAAATATATGGTAATACCTTGGTGTTTTTTTTAAAGACATAACAACTTTTAAAATATTTACAACACAATTTTATTCCCTTAAATAAAACATTAGTTTATCCAGATTGATGGACTCACAGGCGCTAGTTACATATATTCAAATATTTTACATAACCAGTCTATATATGTATATAATATAAAACTTTAAAAAGTTTGTTTCAAGACCTGTGGATGGACTCTGTTTGGAAATCAAAACATTCATGATCAAAGCGGCCATTTTTCCATTTACCCACAAATTTTCTTGGCGGGCGCCTGAACTCGTATTCCTTTTGTTTCGCTTTTTTTTCTTCATTGGATAGTTTACGATTTTTGCCAGGCGTAGCGCCAGCGTAATAATGTAGTAACACCGACATTTTGGTCATTGACAGTCGTATGTATCGGACACTTATAATGAAACGGCGAATCAAAACTCATTTTACATTTTTTTATTCAAGGGAGAAAACTCGGTCTTGATCGGTCTTGGATATTTCCCGGTATTCGTACCGGACATAATGTCCGGAACTCCGAAAAAAAATATCGGACCGGCCTGATTTTTGCCGGACATGTCCGACGGTCCGGCAACTTTCGCGAAGCCTGCTATGCACTGCCAGCAAACAAATATATTTTTCAGTTCATAAATTAGGAATCAATCTGTAAAGCCCTTTACTTAACCAGTATGGCAGATAAACAAAAATAGATTGATGTTTGTTTTTTATTTTAAATTGATAACTACATTGTTTGAGAGTTTTTGTTAATGATTGAGCATGATATTGAAAGAAAATTGGATAAACTTTTGAATAATTTCAATAAAGCTTGAGATAAAAGACATTTTTTTAATTTATATTATGCGAAGTGTTTCGGAGCAAAAACTTTTAGTTGTCGGGCTTGTCTGACATAAACTATAACAAGCCCGTGACATCTGATATACTGGACAAGCTAGTCCCCAGTCTCAAAATTTATACTGTGCTGATTTATTCACTAATTTTTCTAAATTTTCAACAGCAGATCTATTTCAAAAGTTAATTTGTAATAACATTAGTATCAGGAGCATGATTATGAGTAACGTGTAATAAATGACATGATATGAACGGCACATATTCGGGGAAAATTATTCAATTGAAAAAATAGCATAATTTCGTGATTTTTTGCAGCTTTGTTTTGTTTAAAGTTAAGTGACCTACATACGAAATGCGCATTGTACAGAGTAACCATATACTCTATTTCATGCCTACCTTCCGTGGAACCAATCTTTGCATATGTCACACTCTATCATGAACTCATTTTCATTGTATGGTTGTCTACAAATGCAATAAAGTGTATCTTTATCTTCGTCCGACGCCATGTTGACTATTTTGACAGCGGAAGTCTTTCAATGCGCATGCGCAGATTTACAGACGCTTGTCGGATGGAGACGTTCAAAAATTTGTAGACACCGTAAAATTGTCAGATAGGGCTACATTTGATAGCGAAAAAAAGTTACTGCATGCTTTTTCTATTTCTTATTATTTTTTAAAAATCTTAAATGTCATATATGACAACTATTAAATAATAACAAACATGGTAGATCTATGACTATGTACAGTACATATTTATTTCTCGAATGGACAAAACTGGGAGGTAGAAACTGTCAAAAGGAAACCCGTTGCACACTAGCAATGTACAACGCGATGAAATATCATTGTTAATAACCACTGACCCCAAACCCCTCTTGACCCGCGGTTGTTTGAACCTAAGTCCGAATTACATATATTGTATTTGCGCATTCAACATCAGTCATGCAGCACTAGATTCTAAAGCTTTTATGTTCTTAATTGTTTTTTTTAAATAATTAAATATTTTGAAAAACCAAAGTTTTGGAAAAATGTAACAGACACTGCATTTTGTTTTTTTTTTCATTTGGATTGCTATATATTCGCTGTATCATGATAAATTACAAGTAGAGATGGTAAGTGAAACAGTGAAAACGCAGTACGTTAAAAATTATATGAATGACAGATATGACTGAAATAAACTAAGTGCAATTATTTCAGCGATGTAAACAATTCTGTACTACTTTACAGAAAAAACAACGGAATTTCTAAAATAATTAAATAAAATGACATTTATACCGATTATACGGCAATTAAAATAGAGAAAATGTTGCAAAGCACAATTTAACTGAGCCTGTTCATGAAAGGTAGATCCAATGGTTAGTATAAACTACTATATAAGCTGATTTTCTGCAAATGTCTGAACCATTTCTCCGAGTGTATGGCCTGAAAAACAGTTTGTCTTAAAATTTGTTAACGAAGAACTGGAACATACGATAGTACATCCCAGCGAAGAACAATATGACAAAATTGAAAAAAGAGAAGAAGAAAAAAAAAAGCGAAAATTAAACAAGAAAAGAATACCAATAGCAGCAACATAAACACCCCCGAAAAGCCATACGAACTATTTCAGTTTATGGTAGTGAAATAAAATTATATGATATCTATACAGATGCCGTTATCTTTCATTTTGTTCCTTATGCAACTTTTAGAACCGTATTCATAGATTAACAATACATGTAGTTAGTATCATAGTGTTGTGTTAATGATTATCTTTAATTTATGTCCTGATAGCAACGTAAAATTTGTTTATCAAGTGTAAAATGCTAGCGTTACCATTAACGCAGGAATGTAATTTTTATTATAAATAGGAGTCTTTGCCATTTGAAGTATATATATTTTAGGCAATCTTTAATGTGTATATATACATGATATATTGTCGTACATTGTACGTAACTGTTGTTGTTGTGGTTTTTTTAAATTCAACTTAGAACTATTCTTTGTTATTTCTTGTTATATTATTAAATGATACATTTTCATCATGCATATGTCGGACTAATAAAATGTACAATTGAATATAGTGATTTGTGACAGGGAAGTTATGACGGTTATATAATAAGGAATTTATAACAATAGGAGTAAATTAATATATGAAATAAAAAGGAAAAGCAACGAATTTATAACACAGAAAATAATAAGCAATACTTAGTATTTGAGATAAAGAGAGAAATTTATAATATACAGAAAATTTAGGCGATTTATAACATAAAGTGAAACACAACAAGGAGTAAGGTAAGAACTTCTTGCATTGGATTATTTTTTATTTAGCTAGAAAATGTTTGCCATTTTATCAGAAAACTAATCACCGAAATTTTTTTATTATTAGGAGATTTAAAAGACGTTCAATTTAGGTATACAATATGAATAAAGCATGTTTACCATTTGTTGTCCCTAAGTTAGAAGTCAAAGAATCACGAGTGTAGTGAAGTTTGATAGACGAACGATATTTCTTTTTCATATTGTATTGTTATTATTATGATTACTTATTTGTCAGGTATTCTATTTGTCACATGGAAATCCGTTCTTTATATATCAAGTTGGACGGCATACTTATTTATCAGAAGCAATCCTTCTGATCCACCCTTTCTTTCTAATTTTTGGATCAAAATCTCCCACTCTTTCATCCTCATCCCAATTCCCTTTGACCCCCTCCGAATCTTGGAAGGTGGTCTTTATTTTGTTTTTAATTACAGTTATTATCATTTCACTCGAGTCCCTTCTCTTTCTTGCATATTTGACAGATGATTCCGTTAGTTTTTACCCATGCCGGAAATTCCATCTGGCAATGGGGTGCCATATGAGTCTCGTGCTTTAAAATGACGTCATTTTAGCGCATTTTATGAACGAACTACGTTATTGACGTTATTTTGGCGCATTTTAGAATTAAACTGCGTTCCTAGGATAATCCCATTCCGCTGTGAAGAATGAAGTTGTAAATTAAATAGTAACTGACGAAATGACATTATTTTCTAGTAACCCTTTGTAGCGTTCGGATAATGTCGTTCTTATTTGTTGATACTTGTGTTAAGATCTAATTACGCGATACCAATTTAGTAGAATATGTTTTAATGCTATTCACAAAGCAATACTCCTGAATTATAGTTTTTGTCACTTTTACTGCAGGATGTGTTTCAACATCATAGAAACATTCTTGATATGTTTCCTAACTTTAACAAATGCGAAGGACTCACCAATCGTCAAAACAACCAATGGTCAGGTTAAAGGCATCGTGAAAATTTATCACAATGAAGATGTCATACAATTTAAAGGAATTCCATTTGCTAAGCCCCCTATCGATAAATTAAGATTCCAAAAGCCTGTCCAGCATGAGAATTGGACAAGCACTATCAACACAATAGCGTTTGGACCATCTTGTATCCAGAATCTTTTGCAAAATGATGAATGGCTTTTGGAAAACAAGACAATATCGGAGGACTGTCTCCATTTAAATATATATGTGCCACGAGGCATGGATAAAGCTAAGCCTAAAGCTGTGATGGTTTGGATACATGGTGGAGGATTTACAGCTGGTCAAGGAACTCTCTTTGACGCATCATATCTTGCACTCGAGGGTGACGTCATTGTTGTTACTATAAACTACAGACTTGGTTTGTTAGGATTTTTATCAACTGAAGATGATAATGCCCCCGGAAACTATGGAATATGGGACCAGAAACTGGCTATCGAATGGGTACATGATAATGTTGTAAACTTTGGAGGAGATAAAAACAGAATTACAATATTTGGCGAATCTGCTGGTGGTTACAGTGTTGGTCTCCATACAATAATTCCATCAAACAAAGGATATTTTCATCGTGCTATATCACAAAGTGGAGCAGTTTATAGCCCGAGAGCACTGGCTAGCGATTCGATACGCGTTGCTGTAGAAACCGGCAGACTTTTGAACTGCTCAAGAAATACAATGTCTGAGTTAATACAATGTTTAAGAAGTAGACCAGCGACAGACATATTAAAAATACAAAACGAAGCAGTGTCTGGATGGGATAGCACTGAAAATTTTATTTCAAGACTAGGCCCTGTTATTGACGGTGATCTTATTGTTGGCGATCCTACAAAGCTTCTAAGGAATACAAATTCGAATTCACACAAATTCTTTCAGAGTTTAGATATAATGGCTGGTACAAATAACGCTGAAGGCGGTCTTATGTATTGGCGGATGATGAAATACCAGGGGCCGTATAAATTTAATATTTCGGAAGGGATACCTAAAGAAGCCTTGTGTGGTGTAATTGCTCCAGCAATTTACCAGAGTTACTTTAACAACAGCAATTTGAGAAATGAAACATCTGAAGCTATTTGCAAACAGTACACCGTAGAGCATATTAAGTCACTTGCGGAACAAGGGCGTAGTGCCGTTAATGTATATGCTGACTTACAATTTGTCGTTCCTACTGTCAGAACTTTAAGGGCACATGCTGACGGGAATAAAGTAAGCCAGACATTTCAATATATTTTTACTCATCAACCGTCGTATCCATGGATACAAGACCGTCCACCATGGTTACATGGAGCAAATCATGCTGGCGAGCTTCCATTTGTGTTTGGATTGGAAGCAATGTATCCTAATGGAAGTGTAAAACCATCATCTGAAATTGAAATGTCTAAACAAATTATGATTTACTGGAGCAATTTCGCAAAAACAGGGTAAACATTTGTTTTTGATTAAGCTTGAAATTTATTTGAAAACAAAATGTAATTCGATTTAAATTCACTGATTTTGAGAAATTTGATATTTATCGTAAGAAATAGCACATGCAAAGACAAACTCTAAGAAGCTTTAAATACCACCACAAATAATTGGTAATATACGTGCTTTGGAAATGGATGTAAGGACACCTGATCCTTATGACGTCCATATCTGTTTGGAAAAAAAAAGCAAAATATAGAATGAAAGATAAAATACATTTTTAACTCTTTACTTTTCTTATTTTTTTCCAGAAATCCAAACATTGGTTCAGCTAAACATGCTGACGGACAAATTCCACAATGGCCTGCATTTGATACAACTACTATGTCATATATGAATCTTACAGAGCAGCCACAATCAGGGTCTAAGTTATTTGAAGACAGAGTGAATTTTTGAATTGAAACCCTTCCTGCGATATTGAGAGTCGATGTCATAACTACAACACACAAAAGCATAAACTCAGGTGCCAGGATATATTGTTCTATATCTCTTGTATTTCTAATTTCTTTTATGCAAATAAATAATATGTATTGAATTTCATCAGTGAGAAGTAATATGTCAATAAATCTAAGGTGTTTTTATTCAAAATGTGTAAACTGAAGCATTTCATAGTTTTTCGGGAAAAATGATCATACAATGTGAAATATATTATGTTTTCACTTGCATTATTCTCTCTAGAATATTTTGTAACAAACACCCACGTTCATTTACAATAATGCACTAGTAGATCTTTTATGTTTTGCAATATATTGTGTATATTTCTAAAAACTTAATAAGGTAAATTTATAAATGTGGTATTTTTGTAAAGAATATTAACTGTTTTAACATTATAACTATTTTTGTAATTGTTTCTCTATACAATGATTAATTGTCTATATTCTTGATAACAGATTTATATACAGTGTATAAGGTTATTTAACAGGTATACAATTTGATTTTGTTTCATTATATAATATGTTTTACACAAATCTTGATCATATTTATTCTAGACTTTTCAATTACTCATTATGCAATGTTAGTTTAAACAAAATATTTCATATCTATTAAAAATATAGAAGTAACTGAAAGTTATTAAGAGGATATTTTTTACGTTTGCGTGAAATATGGAATATATTTTATCATGTCGAGTGAAAATATATACCATATTTCACAAAAAACGAAAAAATAACCTTTTTATTTAATTTCATTATCAAAGAAAAATGGTAACGAATCCCCTTGCTTGCTACCAACTGCAATTGTACAGCGCGCAGTAATTTATGCGTAAGCACGCGCTGTTTGGCGCTACATTGTGACGTCATGTAAACAACTCTTTAAACGTCTGTACAGCGTTAATTACTGAATTAAAGATATTGGTGTTCGGATTAATTTTCTTAGTTAGACCATTTTCTATCATGCTAGATAGTTTTCAAAACAATATTCAAGAAAAAGTTGTTTTGTATTTATCAGATTTTTCAAACAAAATGGCGAAAGAAGTCCCTTAAAATAAATATGAGGTTTGACTCCGCCCACTTTCATATTTATATTTCATATTTATTTTTAAAAAATATGAAATATATTTGACTGATATAGCACCATATTTTATGGGTAAAATTAAATAAGAATATTTGATTTCATATTGATCAAAAGTTACAGCAAAAAGTATTTTAATTGAAATCAATGTTAGCGCGACATGGGCCTTTAAAACTTTTGTATTCATTTATTGTAATATTAATGATTGATGTATAAATTCTCACAAGAGGTCTTGACTATAATTATATTTATATCTCATGATGCCTAAAGACTAAATGCGCCAATCGTACATTTTAGGGCATTTTTAGTTCTTAATATAGAAATGGAAAGAATAATATTATTCTCTATAACCAGGGTTCTAAATTTTATTTCAATTTGAATGACACAACTAACTTATATCGGTGATATTTTATTTGTCATGTGTATAGATTCACTCCTTATGCACATCGTAAAAATATTCTGTAAGGAGTTGTTTTTTTTTCATATAAAATGTGATTACCACGTGTATGTATTTACTATTAGATTTCTTTTTTTATGTTTTTTTGTATGCTACAGACCCGTTTGGCCAGATGTGTTCTTCTATATATTCATATATTCATTATTAATTTATTAGATTCATTGTTTATATATACTCGTATGACACATTAAATATTCATTACAATTTGCATTTATTTCCTTATTATTCAATTTGATCGATCTTTATTTTACTTTCTATACAAAGTGTAGAGTAATTAAATTGTTAACAGGTAAATTCTTTGAAAGGCAAAACCCTATCAAGATAAAAGGCGAACTGTAAGTGGCGCGAAACATTGTAAATAACCAAGATGGCCGCGCCCATTGAAAATAAAAGGTACGTATGTTCTTTTTAAATTTCTGTAGTATTAAATTGTGATGAATTTAAATGATTTTATCAGTTGACTATCAATTACTTTTATTAGTGGCATGTTACAATGCTACAATTCAAATTGCAGAGAATACATGACGAATCTTTTTCAAAAATTCACCGCCCTATTTGGGTATAGGTACAGGGCATGTCCAAAATTATTTACCCGTTATTCTGCATAACAAACGCCTTTTCAGACGCACGTCGATTCTACATTTCTCCAGAATATTTCAAACTTAAATAGAACATATATTTTACTTGAATTAAGCATCACAGGCTCGTCGTCGTTAAAAAAATGAAAAGAAAAACATTTCTTCTTAGGTTACACTTGGTATGACATGGAAGAACATGCATGTTTATAATGAACGAAAACATGTATTTTGCGAGAATTTAAAAAAAACAAAGAAAATAGATAAATATATACAAACAAGTTACATGAAAACAAAACAAAATAAATGAATACAGATTGAGGAAGATTTTTACATAAAAACAATAGCGAATCCCTTAATTTGAAAGCCTTGTTTTCAAAATTTCTTATTAGATCTACTGGTTTGCATTTATGAAAATACTTTATAAGATTTGTGTGAATATAAAAATACCTTGGAATAGGCTAAGATACAAATGCAGTCTTCTTAAATCAACATAAGCTGTACATTTTAAAACAACGTGGAACTCGTCTACTAGATCGTTGAAGTTACCAATCTCCCACGCAGTGTTCTCCCCTTATCAGTACAGAGATATCTGCCATCACAAATATTGAAATATCAATATTTTGATATTTTATATTTTTTTAGCTTTTTTAATTTATTTTTCATTATGTTGTATACTTTTGATATTTTTTGATAAAATATAACGGACAGTAGGTACAAAAAGTTAAAAATAAAACAGAAAGAAAAAAATGACGTTAGATTTTCTATGTAACGGTCGATATTTACATTTGAATTTCGACGTTACGTCATGTGACTTTCATCATCATGTGACGTCTGTGACGGCAGTGATTACAATTCTGCCAAGGGAGGTAATCACTGTGAGGAGTTTGTGAAGTTACTGTGCCGCTATGATAATGTGAGAGTGAGGTTGCAATTTTTGTGTACACAAAAGTTTACAATCTTTGTCTGAATAGGTAAAACAGGATATTTAGAAGTGAATATCATTCAAAATCAGAAATAGAATTTGAAAAGACTCGATGGCAAAGTTGGTTAAGTCACTAGGATGCCATACAAATTAAAATGTATCCTGAGTTCGAGCCACACAAGTTGTCAAACTTTTTTTCCCCCTTTTTCTTTCCCTATTTTTATTTTTACATGAAATGCAAATTAATTGGAATATAAAGGCAGTTTTGTTATAATTTCGAATAATTTATATATACCGGAAATAATTTTTTTTATTCTGTGTAGTGTGTAATATATATTAGTAGTACTTTTGCAGTGCATAAGTTTTTCGTGCCAACTTAACTATTTGAACCAATTTTTGTACATGTATGCATTCCGTATCAGGTTGCACCAACTTGCTAGATACAAAAGTGAAATGAGAAGTTAATAGAATATTAATAACACAGCGCTTATAATCTTTACAAGAAAAAAAAGAAATTCTTAATCGATTGATAATTATACAAAAACATTTGGGACCGAACCTGGTTGTCTTGCATTGATATGTAACTAAAGATTTACCACACAACTTTACCTACTGTGTTACGCTGCCAGTTGGTAAATTTGTCGATATTCTAATTTATATGGCAAGCCTGCTTGACTTTTAAGATATTAAACACAATATGATAACTGTTTTACACCGTTAAAGTGGACTTGACCGACGCGTCACTAAATAATTATCCTAAACGCACAGTACAGCTAGAGTGTACATTTTCCGTCATTGCGCGGAATATTGTAATGTCGATATAATTTGACTGCTCAAACGTATTTTTATCTCCCAGAAAATATTTAAAAAACTTGACGTCTGTAGTCCCGTAGCCCAATCTCCAATTACTTATGTATAATATACATGTATATATATCTAAGCCTATGAACAACATAAGACTGGAACAAAAACATGTATGTTTACAGATTCGGGACATAACCATACTTCATTTAGATAATAAGAACGAAGGATATCGCGTATAAATGAGACCCAATGTTTTATTGTTTCGTTCAGTTTAAGACATTTATTTGATCCTGTAAAACTGCCTTTAAAGTACAAATTTTAGTCTTGACAGTATTAATCAAACATGCTTTTTTTAAATATAAAGTGAAAATCTATCTAATTCACCATAGAGAACTAGAGTATTTGTAGACTGCTTAACATATAGTATCCATAATCATTTGCAAAATATACATGTACTCTTTCTATTCCCTCTGGATTTATACAGCCCCATACCTCTGCTAAATAAAAACAATCAAAAGGCTAATTTATAAGTAAATCCACCGAGGGTTGAAAACAGCGAGTGCAAGGTATTGAAGGCGTTTTCATGACACCGACACACTGCAGCAAATTGCCTCAAGGCATGCAGTGACTCTTAGTAGGGTTCAAAACTCCAATTAACAGAACAGAACATACATTTTATCAGGCGTTTACATACGTATATCATCTTAATACATAAACATCAATGATAAACATGTCACATATCATTATTATCTAGAACATATAATTAAAAGTTTAATCATATGCTTTTTAACACATGTTTACGTATAATACATACATGTATAAGAAAGACAGTAACATAATAAGTACTACAGCATCAGGTAATATTATTTATAAATGAATTTCGAGTAACAATTGCCTCTTTCATATATTTGCACAATTTAACAATATCGTTTTTAAGAAGAAAGCAAATCATGAAATTAAAAAAAGATGTGTTGACAAAACAACAACAACAACAACAACAACAACAAAAAACAACAACAACAACAACAACAACAAACAACAAAAAACCTTCTGATATATTTCTTTCTTATTTGAGAATAGCACTTACATATACAAATAAAGTGGAATTCATCTTCAATATCTCTTGTGTTACGAAATAAATAATATCTTTTGTTTCTTGGTAAATTATTACGGGTATACCTCCCTGTTTGTATTCTCAAAGGATGTAATAAAATTCTAAGTATTTTAATACCCTAACATAGCGGTTTATATATAACGGGTATCTCCCAACTCTACATATACAGCTGCATTACTAGAATTTAACCTTACATGTGATATTCGTTTGCAAAACTTCAAATGGATTCGTTCTAATTCTAGACTTTGTAAAACCTCATATTTCAGAAGCGTTGATGGTACCTCAAGTACCTGTGTATATTTAACGAGTTTTGGTTGAATTATTTTTAGCTGAGTTATGGACCTTAAAAAGCGTTTTAGCCTGTTAATGATTATGGTGTCTCCTGCTACAGAGTAGCTGCAAAATATTAGAATCAGTTATTTGGAAGGATTACAAAAGTAAAGCATTACAGATCGACTGATTACACCATTGATTTTGTCGTCATCGTGACGCCACTTGTTGACCAGTGAATGATATTACCGTCATTAATTTCTATAGTCAATTTGGCTAGTCTTTTTACAAATTGTAATAATTCTAATGTTAATCTGTATAGAGAAAAATATTTGCTCCTGCAGTCATGACTAGCTAATTCATTACCCATTGTTTGCACTAGAAGGGAAGATGAAAAATATATCAATTTTTGATAATGAAAATGAAACTAATTTGGAAAGGATATTCTTCGTTTTTTGTTTATTCGATTATTGTGACACTAGATGACAAAGTTGATGATGTCTATGTTACAGAATGGTAACTTTAGGTGTGAGTCTAGTTTGTCGGGTGAATTATTAATGGGAAAAGTCAGCTTTGATTTTGATAGTTAAACTGATATATTAAACCAAACAATCTTTACATCATATTAAGAATAAGATCAAACTATTTTCACTTTCAAGCGGTCGAAATTGTAGTTACGTTCGCACAAACGGAACCGAAAAATAACCTGTTGTGGATTATATATACATAGGTAACTTTATATCCCATTTGATTTTAGATAAAATGACAAAATATTTCATTTGTTAATAAATGGAGTTTACTTATACGATTTATTTATTGTTTGTACTTTTATTTTTTGAAAATATTTACAAATAGTCACGAGTCAAAAGAAATCTCAGACTTAATAAGTTGTTTTAAGTTTTTCCGATATCGATATATTGTTGTTTAAGAGTTACAAAACCGATACAACCAGACTTAACTGTATGAAAAACACTTTCCGTGATTTACCTTTGAAATTAGACATGCATTAAGTAGAAGGAGATCAAATGTTTGCTGTTATCTATCTGAAACAATATTCTCGGCGGATAAAATTTTCTTATGCCAGTGGAGTAACTATCAGTGGAATAACTTGCTTAACCGGATTAACTTTTTATACATGTAACGTTACCAATACAACCGTTATTGCCAACTGTTAATTGGATAATGTTAACAACTTTTCTGTGAATTATTGTTTAGACACATAGTCGGAGGTAAAGTCTTCTGACCAATTATTTTTCAATATTTAAAAAAAAAATATTTTCATTTCAAAGTATTGTTACATGATTTTTAAAGAGTTGAAGAATTGTATTGATTACCTTTATATGGAAATACAAATGTTGAACAGTGGTTGAAACAAATATGTTTCAAGATTATATGAAAGTAGATAGTTTGGAATATATCAACACACAATTTATATACTAGTGCACATAGTATCAGATAAAACATAGGGACATATTACTAACTAACTAAGTGGAAAATAAAAACCCTTATTGAACATATTTGAAGAAATATTACACTAAGTTAGTTATATTGGAACAGTGGTAATCCTCTGAAAATTGGATTATAAATTTATACATTGAAGTATTTCTCATAAGAATGCTGTATTAAATAAGATAGGCGAGACAAATAACAATTTGGTTATTGTTATAATATATAATCCGACTATGGCAGAGGCATCATTAAAATCTGTGTTAAATAATTTATATATGCGCTTATTATGTTAAGATTAGGGTAAGCATATAGAAAAATAAACGAAATAAGGGATAAATAAACGAAACAAAAGTCATTGTTTAAATGAATGGTTCATTACATAGCAGTATGTATCAAGTTGTGATACAGCAGCGAACAGAGCTTTGTTTCGGAAGATAAAGGATACTTCTTTATGAAAGAAGAATTGTACAAAGCTAGGTGAACGAGATAATGAGTATTGTTTGGCTCTGGAACATGGCATGTTTCATGATGGATATAATAGCTTACTTTATGTCCTGTTTTAGAGTGAGGCATTCTGATGACGGAGCTAATGAAGACAGGAAAAAGAGACAAAAACATGACCAAGATTATTTTAAGTAAGTTGAAAATTTTATAGTTCGCTATTCATTTAATGGAATATGTTATGGCTTTGGAAAGTAAATATTTTTTATTGAAAATTTACTTACTGAAAGAAATGGATATCTAATATAAAATAATTTGTTATAAATGATACAGCACCCTATATTGATGCAGACTAAGAAACCATGCAATCAAGTCACAATGTAATTGATTTACGGTTATATATTTTTTAATGAAATGTTCACATTATAATGTATTATTTATGAGAAATGGCTGTAACCAAAATAGACCACTAAAATGATTATGAATTATACAGTGTTTATTATTATTATTTATTATTTTGTAAGCAATTTAAGAAACACCTCACATATCAAAAGTAGCAAAACAAAATTAGCTTTAGTAAGATATGTGTGTGTTTAACCTGTTAAAGTTAATACCAAAATGCCAAGTCCATGAATCCATTAGGTATCTAGGTATTCAGAGCACATAATTTACTGGAGATGTAGATATAAAAAGTGTCTAACTCTGCCAAGTAACTTATTAGCTAAGAATAATTTGACAGTAATGAATGTTAAAACTTATAACTAATATAATTATGTGTGCTTCAAGTATTTTTCTAAGTATACATCAACTTAAGAAGCTTAATAAAGCGAAACATTTATTGATAAAATGTTTTCGTTTGTGAATCTTTTTATCATATCTAAGTATATGTACTCTAAAATAAGAATAAACTTTTCCTAAACCACACTTTGCAGATTTACACGCATATGTTCAACCAAAGTTTATATACAGTCTGATAAACCAAGTAACCTGTATGTTGATTTATTGAGATAAATAATAAAACATCATAATTATTATAAAGAAAGATATAATAACATGTAAAGAAAAAAATGAAAACAATGTAATTTTAATCAGTGTCATTCTATTTGAAAGACCCCGCTTTGATATAGGCTAGCGTTGGTAAAATTACGAGTAACGTCATTTTTTATATAATTTACAAGGCTTTGTTAACAAATATACCAGTGAACATTATACATAAATGATTCCTATGATTTGACAAAAATGCTTAAATTTTTAACAAAATCTCAAACACGACATATTTGAATAATATAAACATTTTTAAACAATCTTTATTTGGATCATCTTTGGATTTTTGTCTAAAGCTAACCTTAAATAAAACATTATCATGGAGCTAATGTCTTCCTATCATTGAACTGTATGTAATATTAGTCATTCCTAGAACAATACTTTTTTAAAAAAAATTGTTGTCATTCGTTATTATTTTGTTATTGTTTTTACCCATTGTAAATCAATTAAACCTGCAACTTATATTTTCTCTTACGTTTATGAAGAAAATGTACAAAAGTAAATTAAAATAATTTAAAATAATGCTCTTACTTTTATCTTTATGACCCATATACATTTAATATACATGTTTTATATTTTTCCAGGAGCTATGCCGGTATTTGTGTACACGAGGAGATGTTAAGTGACACTGTGAGAACAAATGCATACAGGTATTGGGAATACTTTTTCATAGTTACTTGTATTGATATTAAAACGAAACTATGTTTACTTGCTCAATTTTATGTATTGTATTTCCTTACAACGACACATGAGTACTTTATCTTGTGCAAACATCAATTTTCAACATTTTTGTATTATAACTCAATGTTTGTCTCGAACATTTGAACGGCGTCTTCATTTACGCGCAAATCTTTAGATATACGAAAATATGTTTGAATCCCTGAAGTTATTTGTCGGAAAATTTAACATTTAACAAGTTTCATTCACATGTGTATATATTGCAACGAACATGCAAATATTTACATTATATAGGACGGTTGGAGGTTGTTGGACATTATAGTACACTATAATGAGGTGAGGTTAATACTTCAAGAAATTACAAATTTGCTTGCATTTTTTATTCTGGCATCAACTTTGAGACACATTTTAAAAATGCCTTTATGTTCATAAACATATACAAATAGTTACATTTTTACATGTACGAATGGTTCGTTGAAAAACCTATTGGTCGTGGGTCTGAATGATAAGTATACATTAGAAAACATATGTGATTTTCATTGTCTTTATTTACCAAATACTTTACCGATGATTATACAACAATCTGGCTATTATCAAAGCATTCGATTTTATCACATTAAAAAAGATTGCATTGTACTTTTACTTTACCATATATCACATGTAAGTACGATAACAAATCGACAAACTATTTTCAGCGTGCCATGTCTTGTCTACGAGCCAAGATTGTAAAGATAACTTTAAGATCTAATTTTACATTTTTGAAATATGCTCACTCTTGTAACTACAAATTTTATGTAAATTGTTTTCATGTTTGCCGTTGATTCGCCTTTATTTAGATTATGGTATTTAATACTAACACGTTTTAGGTTTAACTACATTATACTATAGCCGATCATTTAGAGATAAATATATTGCAAGTAAAAGTAACGTGTTAGATAGTAATTGCATTAGAATAATTGATGCTACTTAGACTATGTGATATATACGTAATTTTGATAATATGACATACTTGATGATTAGGTATTAATATGTCTGCATATAAAATCTCTACATTTTGTATAGTATAGCGCGTACATATTGTTACTAATTTTCATCGCAGAATAAAAGGTTCTTTTTCTGATACTAGTGTATTACTAATAAAATTGTGCATACTTTATCATTCTGTAAAAGTCACAAATGAAAACGAAAACGTAAATAATTTCTACAAAAACTTATTTCACATGCAAAAATAATTCCCCTAAATATACCGTGGTGTGCCACTAAAATAGATACAAATTGGATGGTGATAGTATTAATGAATAATTTAAAAAATAAATGTATTTTACTAGCTAGAAAAGAATATTAGCAAGGAATATAAAGCTGATTCCAATTGGTGCCGACGAGGTTCTATAATCCACAAGTTTAACCTTTGTTTCTTTTACTAAATGTAACATATTTTGTATAATCTTTTTTTATCTGCCCTTTCATCAAGAACCTCGCCAAAACTACAGGAACTCTATTAGTCTAGATTACAAGTGTCGGGAGTCTTTGATTGAAGTGATATTTTTTACACAATTAGTGAATGTAAACGAAAGTAATTAATCATGACTATCTGTACTATTTAACAATTTCATCAATTAGATAAAATGAGGAAATATATGAAGTGATGAGATATTTAGTGATTCTGAAGCAAAAAAACAAAACAAACTGCTAAGTAATTAAAAATGATGAAACAACTTGCGATTTTTCTAAAATTTGGTTTTCTAAATACCCATAATTCATTCTATGGAAACGGCTGCGCAGGTAAATGCAAATTAAATGCAAACTAGTTATCGTTTTAAGTATATATTACCTTTTATTATGTGAAATCTGTAGAAGAAAAAACCCAAAAGGAGAGGAAGGGGCACATTTTACCTGGCCCCTCAAGACACACGCGGTGTGTTAACAATGCTATGGACTTTTTCGATAATGGCATGAATAGTGTTTGATATTTTACGATATGACTTAATGGTTAATTGAACATTTTTTGTTACGAATATACGATTCGTACATTTTGTTTTGTATTTCTTCAATAGTGTTGATAAAATTGCAAGAAGAATGCTAATTTTTGTTACTTATAATCATTCTTCTTAATCGAAGTTATTTATTCTTCTTATGATAAAATTTGTATTATTTATAAGTAAGTCCCTTAATATTTATTCTTTTGTATCAATATTATTTAGTTTTAAAATTATGGATCATCTGCATCGGAGGGATGATTTCAAGGACGCCTATTTTAAGTTGTTGTTTTGGTAAATTTGATTAACCATTTTTCCTTTTACAGATATGCAATATTGAAGAACTACGAGAAAATTCGAGGGAAAGTTGTTGCAGATATTGGTGCTGGAACCGGTATTTTGTCAGTATTCTGTGTTCAAGCTGGTGCTAAAAAAGGTATTGAAAACAGAAAATTTTAAAAGTCACACCATGCAAAGGAAGAAAACTTAAAAAAAACATTACCGTTTTCGATTAAAACGCTTATTACTAGGTTAATGATTTAGTATATCAAAAGAAAAAGAAAAAGAAAAAAAATTGAAGTAAGAGTGTAACAATCATGATACGTCAAAAAGTAATGGTTGTATTTAAAGATAGTTTTTGTACATATTTATAAATATACAAGAATGTGTTTTCATATCAAAGGTACCGGACAATGTCACGTCTGATGCTTTGTTATCGTTTTAATTTTTCAGTATATGCAATAGAGGCTAGTGATATGGCGAAACAAACTCAGGCAATTGTAGACGAAAACAAAATGTCAGACAGAATTGAGGTAGTTCACAACACTGTTGAGGTAGTATATTTCTGTTAATATTGTTGTATTTATCACTCAACGAACGCCCACTTCTTTGTTCTAATGACAAGTACAAATATTTTATACGAATTTAATTGTAAGTGTTTTTGATTCTTTTTTGGAGGGAAAATATTGTTCCGAAACAGTATTTTATGATTCCTTGAAAGTCGGCGACATTTAAAATTTGTGATGGGGGAAATATTGTTTATAAAACTTTTTGGTATTTCACACATTAGCCGTGTTGAAATTTCTCTCGTTTAGAAATTTATCAATAAGAAACAATTGCACGTGCGCGATAAAGCTGTGTTTTTACAAGTATCTTGTTATCATAGTATCTTGCTGAAAGTACCTGTTGGATATAATTTCAGATGATAAGTAAAAACAGAATCCAAATATAAGACAAACAATACTTGACTTAAACTGTGTTAAATTTTTTTTGCCAGTTATGTTTTGCACATGTTTTCTTTTTTTCACATACGAGTCTTTTCACTTTCAGAAAGTAATATTTCCTGAGAAACTAGATGTTCTAGTTAGTGAATGGATGGTATGTATGATTATTATATTATACTTAAATCTAATAAAATAGAGATTACATTGTAATTGAAAATATTCAGGTTTGGTTTTCTTTTGAGCCTGCTCATGGACGATAGTAGTAAGTGCATGCTACCGTCCACACCCCTAGAACCGGTTTAAGCAGTATTCAGTTTAACAGGAATGTCGTTAAATTTGAATTTAAAGGCATCCTAAGATGTGTTAATGTGATAGATTTTTGCTAATCATTTTTGTTCGATTGTATTGGAAGTTATAAGCTTAATAAAGCACTCTCAAATCCGTTATTGGAACCAACAAGTACTAAGCAATGAAAGTAAAGTTTAATGCTCACGGAATCAACGGCTTGCTCCTGACGGAGTTTGAACACACGCGACCAGAAGTCCTAAGATTACTAGAACGATAAGTTAACCTTTCGGTTAACTCATACGGTGGTTATCATGGAATCTTCCATGTCATACGTTCATCTTAAAAAGAAAACAATGAGCAGAACTAAATAAAATGGAAATTTGAAAGTAGGTTATATAACCTTTTAATAAATAACGATAGCAAATAAGTATATTTTTGTACCAAGGAAAGTATGGACAGTGTTTGACGTAAGAGATATTTTCGAGATAGTTTCCTTTCACATAATAATTGCTTGTGTGTTGTGCTGGAAAAGTTATGTTAGAAAATTAATAATTTTCAGGGATATTGCTTGTTTTATGAGTCAATGTTGCCTTGTGTGTTACAGTGCCGCGATAAATGGCTGAAAAAGGTAAACATCTTTTTGACTAAATCACAATCGAAAGCAAATACAGAATAATATTATATTTTTGAATCATTATTCCAATTGTCAGTATTTTCAAATATCAAATTTGAGCATGATATATCTTTAAATTTACACAAACTTGATCCGTTATGTTTTTTTCCGAATAGTTTGTATCGGTAGGTATAATAATTTTATTTGTTTGGGAAATGAGTATAAACCTGTATTTTTAGGGAAATAGTAAACACTTTCAATATAATATAAACGTATCAATGTTCGATATCAGTTTGTTAGCTTTGTTATCTTTGAAGAATTAATTATCACACTGTGTAAATTGAATGTGCGTATTCTCATATCTTTGACGAATATAGGATGGCGTTATGCTTCCATCATTGGCTAGTTTATACATTGCTCCATTTACAGACACCGACTATGATAACAGGTAAATATCCATAAGTTACATGTCGTCCTTAGAAGTTTGTAAAATGTTATCTAATTGCATTCCCTTTAGGAAGAAAAAAATCAATGTCTGTGAAATATATACGAAACAAGAAAACCAACTACGAAATTAAAATATCGATAAGTTAAATAGGTTTCAACTTTGGCAAAAAATATCTTCTAACCTAATGGCAATTTTATTTAATTTTCAATTTATGTGATTTGTTTTATTATGAAACTGTAACATGTTTACATAGCAGGTATTCAAATATGAGATTTAATTTTTCTGGAATCTTGGTTAGGCTTGATTTTTGGTCGGAGATTCGCTCTGTGTACAAGTTATCGATGGAATGTATGAAACCATATGCCCGCAAATGCATATCAAGTGAGTATACTTGCAATGATCAAAATTTAATGCAAATCAATAAGTTACCGATTTTACAAAATTTAACCATATACGTGTTCATGCTTCATTAAGTAACGACATAATCAAAATTTATTCTTTTTTTTCGGATTTTAAAAGTGATACTTTTTTATTTATAAATACAACATGTAATTTATTTGTTATGTTTTTCTTGCTAGAACAGGTTCATATTAATAATATTTCCCCTGAAAGTGTCCAGGCACATGCTGTACAAGTCTGTCGACTGAATCTTAATTCAGCAACTAAAGATGACCTTCAGAACGTAAAGGTATGTAAGTTTTTTTTTTATTTCAAATATTTTATAAAAAAACAACAACTCGGGAATATGTCTCAAAATCTATACATGTATATTATATGTTTTACCGTTTAGTAATTGTTAGACTGTGTGATGAGTTTCTATTAATTTCATGTGTTTTGAGATCGATATATGCCTCGGAGCGAATGACCATTAGAATAATAAACATAAGAAAGTACATATAATTATTTGTAATATATATTTTTCTTATTTTGAAAGAAAGAGTAATGTATACTTATATTACTTTACAGAAAGAGTTTACATTCCATTGTTTTGGTCAATCTACCATACATGGTTTTACTACATGGTTTGATGTTGGATTTCCTGAAAGTATATTCTTGATTCTGTAGTTCTAATTAGGTTAATGTTTTACTTCTAACAGTTTACATACTAATCGTTTGCTGTTCAGAATGGACAGATGTTTCCAAGTAAAGTTGTAGATTGTAAACGTTGAGAATAACTGTTTTTATGAAGGGTTTATCGCTAATGTTAATACGACTGGAGCCTAACCTTTTTTGGTATTTAACCTGTTGCTTCTGTGTATATTACATCTATATACATATATTAGCAATAAAGTAGGATTCAGTCAAAACTCTTTGTTTCATTAGATTGACTTGTGTTTGCAAGAATCATTATCAAAAGAGTATTGGTTCATTTTTTTGTTCAGAAATTGTCCATTTATATAATGTCATAGTAGCAAATGTACGAATAATTCCAGAGAGACTCATTGGTCACAGACACTATTTTACATAGATGAACCATGTGACGTGACACAAGACACTGTGATAAAGGGAAGCATTTCTATCAGACCTCATACAGATGCACCAAGGTGAGTGACAAACCTTCATATAAACTTCATTTTTTCATGGAAGATGAATATAGGAATCTTAGCAAATTGCTTTTTAAGACAGCTTTTCTTTTGAATAAGGAGCTTAAAGGGGATATATTTGATAATTTTAAAATAATGTCAAGATTTTAACCACTTACACAAAAATTAAGTATATTGCTAATACAGTTACATCTTGCTTGTCAGCAATAGTCATGAAACACAAAAGATGAGTGATCAGGAAATAGTTCAATATAACTGAAACTGGTATTTTTGGTTCAGATTTCTTGACATCAGCGTTACATATAAAATTGGAGAAGGTACAGCACATCGTCAAACATACTTAATGAACGACTGTATCACTTGACATCAACCGAACTGTGACTTTAGTATATATGTAATATTTAACAGGGATATTACTGAGCACTTTCGTACCTCAGGAAAAGATTTCTGACAGAAGGGGGTTTATAGAGCATGGAAATAGTGTGACGGGAGTTCTATTTACAATGCTTAAAACATGAGAGTAATAAAAACAAATCAATATCAAATATATATCTTATTTGTAACTTTATATACTAGAATATATTGAATGAAATGTTTGTCATGTTTATAGAATATGGAATAATGAAAAAGTTACAACAAATCGATATCAAATTTATTTCTTATTTATTATTTGTTACTTTCTATCAGTATTCAAGTATACCATGTGTCATATTCCAAACAATAATAAATGATGGTAACAATAATATATAATGCAAATAAAAAAAGAAATCTCTTTTATATGCATATTTGACAGATTATTACCGTATTGTTATAAGTTATATAGAAAACAATTAATAAAACTTTAAACAAATGTATTGCTCTGATACAATTAAGAGTCGCTTTTATAAGCGGCATGCACGCAACCCATACACTGGTACAAATGTAATACAAAATCAAAGTTTCAAATCCTCTTAGAAGGTCATACTTTCGCATTGTATAATGGCCAGCGATTGGCTGAAAAAAGCAATGGAAAACCGTATGATTCAATTGGACATGAGGTGATTGGATGAAAATGTGGTATTTATCTTTAAGTATGAAAACTAATTTAGAAAGTAACAAGATACATTGTTTTTTGAAGAAAATGAAATATTTCATGAGTCTCTATGATAATTTTTGTCTTGGTTATTTGCATTCATAAAGTGTGTCCTGTGATGAGCAGAAAATTTCAATAAAAAGGTGTGGGGGGGGCAATCCTCTTTGAAGTCATTTGATACAAATTCCTTAAGGCAATCTCAGAGGCACTGTTTGATTATGCCAATAAAATATAATAAATGTAATATACTAAACATATAATAGTAGCGACGCTTACCATGAAATGCTTTACTTTTATTTCTCAAAAGCTTTTTTTTGGTGTACTTTTCTTGATTCCAAAAAATATTATTTATTGGCCAATTCTCTGAACATCTCTTTTTCTTCTGTTGCTTTTTGCCAATAAGTGCAGTTATAGTGTTAAAGTATTTTGTATGGAAGTCAAAATTCTACTTTGTTTACATTTGCTACTTTTATGACAAATCATTTCACATTTAGCTCTACCTTCTTCAGGTAAAAACCATCTAACATGCTCTAACACCATTATTTAAACGCTATAAAGTTTGTGTTTGCCTTTTTAAAAGAAATAAAAAATGTTCGTTTCTGAGGCATAATGTGCAACATATTTTAAATAAAAAATCCACTTCTTTATTATGGCTTTATTATGTTTGGAAAAGTTCAGTCTGAAACTGTAAATGTGTCCTCATCAAAATTTATCAACAAATCTACAGCAAAATTAGTGCTATAAACATTGAATATCTGGATTTCTAGGGGGTTAATAACATAATTATATTCCATGCAATTTGTTATATGTCGTGTAACCTAATTTGTTTCAGAAAATAAGATAGTAAACTCGTCGAAATACATCAAGCGTTGAATATTATTGAGGTAAATGAGTTTGAGTCTATTTTCTACGAATTTATTCTAATTATTTTCAAAAGATGTATTTGAAGTTAAATATGTACAGATATATAGATTTCGTGAGCTTAAAACAGTAATTTCACAGCACTTTTAGTTCTATAGTATCTTAATTTGTATACTCCGGTTGCGTCAAAGAGTTGTGATTTTAGAATGTATAAGTAAATCCGACCGCATAGCTCAATAGAAAATCATCAGGGTATTGTAATCCTGGAAGGCCGCAGGCTAGTAAAATCATCACCCCCTCTTAAATAGAGTTGTGTTCACATTGTTGTTGAACTTTTTAAAAATATATGGTGTTGTGACCATTTCTCTGTTTTTTTTTGCCATTTTGCCAATGTGGCGTGAAGGAATGTGGCGTGGAGGAAGACCTCAGGTGCCCATCCGTGCATTATTTCAGGCACGAACGGGCACCTGAATAAAACAAACCATCGACCTTCCGTAAGCTAACTGGTTTACTTCCTCACACGAAAGAATTCAAAGTCCTTGTCAGGATTCGAACCCTCAGCGGCGAGGGGCGTGGAACATCACAAATTCACAGAATAATTAGTTGTCTTCACATTTTTAATTATATTTGTTAAATGTGTTTTAAATACCTATCTTGAGAATTATTTATTTCATAAACAAAACAAAGTTCATTAACCCCTATAATATTTTATTTTATGACGCACAGTTATAGCATCGCCAACTTTCTTTATAATAACAATGAAATCCTATCAATTACATATGAACCATACAAACTGATTTATGTTTATGTCTGTTTTTCACTGTAAAACTGGATTGTTATTAAACTTAATTCTTGTTTTGAAGACGTTTCCTGTTGTTTTTTTTTAAACAGTTAAAGAAGCAAAATTTTAACTTTCTCTTTCAAATGTAAGGGCCGCTGATTCGATCATCGGACGAGACAAAGCATCTCCGTCAGTGGTTCTACTCAAGTGCCCCTTCGTGCCTAAGATCTTCATTTTTTGATTATTTTAATAATATGACACAAGATGAAAAGTTGTTGATGTCGTAATCGTAGATGTGTTACTTTGGTTGCGAGTTGAATTGAATAATTGCTTCGTAAAGTTACATTTAATTTTAACAGTTTATGATATTTTACGAAATACAATCCGAGTTACTGAAGGAGAAAGGTAGACTGAAGTTTTTTTTACATATACATGCATCTCATGTACATTAAACAGCTGATACAATAAATTACACCGTCATATCTAGTACCCCAATTCGTATTTATTCACTTTAAAGGCTCGAAATTATCGTATGTGTAGAGTATGCATTTTACACGGTAAAGATGTATTTTCTTTGTAATGTTAGATTATCTTCCTATATATTTTTATTATACACATTATTCAATAAGGAATTCGTTTTGAATTTATTGTTTTATCAACATGTTATAAACAAGCAAATAAATATCCTACTGAAATCACAAATGCAGTATTTCATAACAATATATAAGTTTTTGATCAGTTATTAGTTATTTTCAGTACTTATATACTCACAAGTTTTCTCAGAGTTAAACACCGGTACAAATAGATACATGCTCAGATTATAATCTTCTGTTTAGGCTACTTATAGGTCCTATGGGCCGGGTGTTCATCTTTGTATGTTTTGTATGTATATACATGCAGCACATGTCCCTATAATACAGAATTTACTTACTCAATTGACTTTACTGTATGAATATTACTTTTTAATGGTTTTCTATGAAAGAAGACATGCAATTAATTGAAGCACATTAAATGTCTGTTGTAATTTATTCGGAGATTTCTTCTAATTGGCTTGTCTGACCGAATAAAGTTCACTCTGAATGCAAGAATAACTTGCTTTATTAGTAATGATATCTTAACATATGTTTATTCTTTATATCAACCAATAAAAAACTAGTGAATTTATTACTCTTTATAAGAAACGGATTATCGTTACCAATAAGAATGTTATTGTCAGTAAGTGTTATTCTGATGTTTAATGAATTTTGTGTTAATGGTTTTTCGTGAGTTAATGTTTAATTAAGCGGACGAAGGAAAAATGTTCTTACCATATTTTTTCAGTTATTGTAGTTTTTCATTACTATGATTTATGATTTTCAAGTACTGATACTGAATGTTTGATTCTCACCTTTGCGTGCACAGTATATTTACTGTAATGAACATGTTAATTTTTTAAAAGTTCAAGAAATATATGGGACACATTCCAAAGACAAAGAGGTTCAACATACTTTAAGTTCTTAATAAGTTATCGGGATGAGATTATAAAAATATTTATTGCAGAAACATTGTACTTAATTGGATGGTCGGGACAGCGGTAATCCTCTGAAAATTTGAGCATAAATGCAATACATCAATATATTTCTGATAATAATATTGTATTAAATGAGAGAGGCGAGACATATTACGAATTGTTACTCAAATTTCTACTCAACCACCTACTTTTATCACACCTAAGAAATACATGAAGAAGAATATAGATAATCGAAGTTGCGTTTGATATCATTTATTGCTCATATGTAAAACAAAAGTTCATTGTAATTTATCAACG